GCGGCGTTAAACAACAAACAAACGTTTAGCAGATGTCTTAGGATTATGGAAATGGTTTAGTCGCTTATAACTGATCCCGAGAAGCCCCGTATATTTACTGGCGAAATTCAAAGCCTGCGTGTTTGTTTTTAGCTACCTGCGTTGTATGGTCTTATATAGAAGTGACCACATCACGGTGAGCCGGCCCGGCTTATCGTGGCGGGAAGCAGCTTAGAACTAAACAGTTGCTACAGACGCACTGGCTTTACCCAACATTCCCGCCGAGCATGCGTAGAGATGATTATCACTGTCCCAATATCCAATATCTACCGCCCCCAAATACAAAATGGTCTTTACCCAAAGGGGCGGACCATTTGATATTCAGGAGGAGAGGGTGTGTTTGTTTGTCAGAGTCATGTTTGTTTTTTGTTCATTTATTAGACTGAGATATATTTTTTCATGAAAGAGAGCTGATTTTTTTTAAGGTCACATTTCAAATTCAACATACGGAATTTAAAGAATCTTAAAATTATCTCACTGTTCACTGCTATTGGTGATCTTAAAACAGAACAAATAAATATAGCACTATAATACTAGTAAACCATAAATAAATTATAAAAAACAACGTTTTTTACAACACGTGTAGCAAAAGTCCAACGTGCAGTTTTCTTCAGATTGACAACTGGTCAACTTGACATGTTCTCACAGGGGGCACGGGTGGTCCAGTCGTATAGGGCGCCGCGATTCGCTGTGCAGAGTTGCGTCCCTTAGGCGCGCCAGAAACCTATGATTGTGGGTTCGAATCCCGGTTCGCCCCGATTATGTTTCTAGGTTTGTCAGCACCTTACCCGTGCTCGTGAGTTTCACCGAAGTGGTAAACGTCTGAGACCTGCATCACTTCGGGCGTTCCTCCCACATTACGCTGACACGCCGTGATATGACTGTAATACTGTTAAAAGCGGCGTTAAACCCAACTCACTCACTCACTCACTTGTTCTCACAACTGAAATGGACTAAGACTGTGGATGATGGACATAAATAGGATAACTTTTTACGTAAACTGACGTAGAAATGTAATCAAGCAGAACTTTGGACAAGCTGGGTCCAAACTCCGAATAGTGTTATAAAATAGCTGATAATATTCGCCCAAACACAACAAAAACAATTTGCTGAGTAATGTTTAATAATCATGAGTAAATAATCGAATCTGGACCAGACAATCCAGTGATTGACATCATGAGCATCGATCTACGCAATAGGGATACGATGACATGCATCAACCAAGTCAGCGAGCCTGACCACCCGATCCCGATAGTCGCCTCTTACGACAAGCATAGTCGCCTTTTTACGGCAAGGATGGGTTGCTGAAGACCTATTCTACCCCGAATCTTCACGGGTCTCTGAGTAATGAACGTGCCACAGTACCCAGGTCAATGGAACTTGAGTTTGAAGTGAAACTTTGGCTGCACTTACAGCATGCCAACCTACAAATTTCTGGGTATAAAAGGAACGGTGTACTGTTTATTCACACTTAAACGTTTGGACAATAGCATGCCAAGATTAACGCAACAACCGGGAAGCAAGCTGTTGGTGTCATACATCAAGGAACAATGCATGACCACGTGGCAAGGCGTGTTGGATGTAGCGGAATGACAGTCACCATGCGCAGGAGTGAGTGAGTATGGTTTTACGCCGCTTTTAGCAATATTCCAGCAATATCACGGCGGGGGACACCAGAAATGGGCTTCACACAATGTACCCACGTCGGGAATCGAACCCGGGTCTTCGGCGTGACAAGCGAACGCTTTAACCACTAGGCTACCCGACCGCCCCCCATGCGCAGGACCTAGAGAGACTCGTCTTGGAGTGACAGGACTTCTGTCGCATTATGCAACTCCTTGTCTGGAGTCTGGAGTTTGAAATTACGCATAGACACACAGACACATACACATAGAGTTAGTTGTTCGGAGGTCGCGGAGCATGTTTGATTTTGAACAATAACTCATTGTCTTCAGGGCGGTGCCAAACATAGGAACAAAATCAAGGTTGTGTAATGGAGTCCCGCGACAAATTAATGTGTGAAAGATACAGCTGTTACATCCAGTGACAAGGATATAATTTCCAAACAGATCTATTTCAGTATTAATATTCGTCACATGAACACACTATATGGTTACAGAACAGACACGAATATCGAACGAAAATGTAATATGTTTCGGCTCGGAATTATCTATAACAAGCAGTGTATCCATCATCCTCGATTTATCAGTGCTCTCCGTTCTGCTTTATCTGTGTGTTTTATCTCCATTCTTTTATGATTTACATGTATGTTATACGGTTTTTCTTTTATCATTTACCTGTGTTATATCCCGATTCTACTGTGATTTACAAGTGTTATATCCCGATTCTATTATGATTTATCAGATTTATATCTCCATTCTACTGATTTACCATGGTGTTATATCCCGATTCTACTATGATTTACAAGTGTTATATCCCGATTCTACTATGATTTATCAGTTTTATATCTCCATTCTACTGATTTACCATGGTGTTATATCCCGATTCTACTATGATTTACCAATGTCTTATATCCCCATTCTTTCATGATTTATCACTTTTATTTCTCCATTCTATTATTTCGAATGTGTTATATCCTGATTCTACTAAAATTTACCTGTGTTATGTCCCGATTGTACTATGATTTACATGTCATATCCCGATTCTACAATGATTTACCAGTGTTATATCCCGATTGTACTTTGATTTACAAGTGTGTTTGTTATATCTCTATTGTATTATGATTTACTATTGTGTTATAACTCCATTCTATTATGATTTATCAGTTGTATATCTCCATTCTACATGTACTTTGATTTACCAGTGTGTTATATCCCGATTCTACTGGTTTACCAGTGTTATATCTTTATATTATTATGATTTACCAGTGTTATATCCTGATTCTACTATGATTTACCAGTGTGTTATATACCGATTCTACTATGATTTATCAGCGTTATATCCTTATTCGGGGCGGTCGGGTAGCCTAGTGGTTAAAGCGTTCGTCGTCACGCCGAAGACCCGGGTTCGATTCCCGACATGGGTACAATGTGTGAAGCCCATTTCTGGTGTCCCCCGCCGTGATATTGCTGGAATATTGCTAAAAGCGGCGTAAAACCATACTCACTCACTCACTATATCCTTATTCTAATATGATTTACCAGTGGTATATCCTGATTCTACTATGATTTACCAATGTGTTATATATCCATTCTACTATGATTTACCAGTGTGTTATATCTTCATTGTATTATGATTTATCAGTTGTATATCTCCATTCTGCTATGTGTCACCATGTCTGCTATGTGTCACCATACACCAATGGTATAGATCGTCGACCAGGATGTCACCACTCACCGCTGGAAGAGTTTCCTTACTCCAGACTGTCATGGAGTAACTCTATGAAATTATATATATATATTAAATGTATATTGTTGAGCATATACCTCATTTCTCAGTTATTGGCAGAACTAATCTATAAATATTCTCTCAACAAGTATGCCAAGCCAACATCTGTTAACGGATCTGAGGATGTGTGACTAAACTGATCAAGTTTGAAATAACTGCACCAAATGTTGAATAAAAAATTGTAAAAATTGATTGTTCCGGAAAATACCAGATGAAAATAATTCTGTCTCGGGTTTTACAAAAAAAACAAAAAAAACTTGTTCACTGGAAATGCTTGATGTTCTTACAAAAATTTGGAGTGAAAACATATAAAAAAATCCACAAATCCGGCGTATAACAGTATTAACTGACACTGTCATGCACTCTGGGCGTTGTTTACTTACCGCCATCTACAACCAACATGTCTGCATGTTCGCATAATATCTGCTTCCTTCTTACGTTTCGCTTCCCTGTCTGACTCCGCCCACAAACTCAAAAGAAACGCGGGCGTACGGTGTTATGACCTGATAAACAAATCTGCCTTGCAGTGCGTGGAATAATCTACATATGGCATTGGCCAGGGGCTGATCAACAATGCCATCACGCAAAACAATTATTGCTAAACATGCAAGTAGTAAACCTGGGAAGTACTGCTTGAATGTAACGTGTTCACAAAGTCATTCAAATAAAATAAAATATGTAGTAAAATAAATAATATATAAGATCTAGAAGTAATATTCAGATCAGTCGTCCATAATTATAGTTTTGTCTCAAATTGTCACGGATTAATCAGACATGTATATTCTCTGGGACACGAATAATAATGCACAGCACTGGTTATTCTCTACACATGTTTAACTGTCATTTATGGACAATGATTTTTCATATTTAAATATTTTATTTTAGTTTCATGAAAGTTTCGGAGTGCATCGCCCCCTACTGTAGTGCGTGAATGACGTCACAAGAGCTTATTCTTTACGTCATGTGTTTTCGTATGACGTCATTAGATAAAGACGTTATGAAAGAAGGGAGGTAATTTGGTAAAGACTAAAACATGTGAAAGGTGTTTCTGTTTATAATTTTGTTCCGGTCAAGGGTCATGAAGAGGAGAAGGAAATCACTCAGAGTAAGTGAGTGACTCAGTGACTATAATATGGTTTTACGCCGCTTTTAGCAATATTCCTGCAATATCACGGCGGTGAACACCACAGAAATGGGCTTCACACATCGTGGAGAATCGAACCCATCCTTAGGCGTGACGCGCAAACGTTTGAACCACTAGGCAACAAATATCTTCAAAAAACAAAAACCAAAAACAACAGCAGTTAATTGTCAGGTGCTGGGAGACGTAGGGCCTACAGTTCATTTAGGTCAAACCCTATTATCTACGAGGTGGATATGTGTAGGTTCAGCCTGCATACCATTGTTTTATCGCGGTGTTGAGTTGCATCACAAACATTTAAGATAAACATGACAATCAATTTAATGTACTTTTACATGGGAAGCGAAGCTATATAAATTCTATGTGCAGAACTTGTTTGATAGATTAATTATGGCTATTGGACAAAATGGGGACGGTGAAAGAATCGGGATTTCCCTTTCATCACAATGATATGTTATTTGTTTATAGCTTCTAGGTTTGGAACAAATAAAATGCACATGATTGTTGACTACAAATCACGACTGCACCAAATGGTAATGATCCTTGTACATAACTATCATTCTGAACGCGGCGCATACTTTGACCAAGTGTCAGATTTTCCTGGGCTCCCTCTCGTAGACTGAATGTAAACACCAACTGCGACTTTGTTTACAAGGCATGATTTTCAACGGGAACTTTTGCGCCAAGACACCGGTGAGGATTTACTCCAACGGGTTTGATAATTCTGTCTTTGAAGTAATCGTTCACATACATCAAAGGACGACATTAGTTGTGATTTCTGAAAACATCATCGCTAAATGTCAATGCATCGCTTGAACTGCCAGACGATAGTATGAAATCGGATGTCAACACGATGGATTCAAAGTTTCGTTCAGAAGGCAGGCATTATTTACAAAAGCGGCGGTTATCATCGAAAGCTATGAATGGGGGTTTCGATGAAGCCGATCTAAACCTTGCCATCCAGGAAAGTTTAAAGTATGCTAAAGGACAGAAAGATCCCGATGTGAAGAAAGATTCAGACAACAACCAAAATACACTCTGTGGTCGCCCGCCGCTGTCAACCGAAGATCACAACGCCCTGACGAGAATGACCGGGAAATTGTTGAATGCGGACGGCTCGCATCCGAATGAAAATAAACAGTTGAAGGACCTGTTACTTCTTCACATTGAATTAATTCAGCACCAACAGGATATGATATCAAAAAGAGACAAAGAGATCAAAACGCTAAAGTCGGAGAAAAACGCGGTAAGGATAATTTTATCTCAGGTGTGGTGAACTCAATGGCGAGGCAAAATGGCCGACTTGTTTTTCCAAGTTACATTTTATCCGTTATGTGTCAGAGTGCTTCGTTTATTAACTTGTGTAAACATATCAGTCTGGTAAATAACCAAGTGACTTAAATCTTTGAACCAAGACTTGTTTCCCTGAATGTTTTGATTAGATGTATTGACAAGCACACGATCGCGTGAAATATTAGGGTGTCCCGCATATATTGGACACTGTAAATAACCTATTCTTAATACTGCATGATGTCAATTAATTTGCCACTTTATTACGAAGGAAGGTGTCTTTTAGACGTATTATGAGGCCATCTTTTAATTGTATTTTGCAAAATATAGTCGGTATCCCCGTCGTGACTGTTGACAGTTCGACACCAACGGACAGACATGTGAGTGCGCAAACGGAAGTTGTGATTTCAATGAATATCACTACGCTTGAGACCAGTTAGAAAAATAGGGCAGCTAACGCTTGATTCTTCGCATCGCGAATAGCCACATATTGAAACTGATCATGAGTTCCTATTGTCAAGAAACAAAGTGATACATTGTTGTGATAGTACATTGACAAATGTATTGGTAGAAGGAGAATTCGTCCACGCGGTCAACAGCCAATCATGCTGTTCAACCTTCAACCTCTAACCTATACGACCGAGTGACCTGGGAAAACAACTTGTTGCCAATTTTGACCTCGCTGCCATCTCTTCATGTGCAGGAGAAGAGGCATTCAAATGAGAGCGTTTCCGTTCGAAGTATGTACATGAATGTCGAGTCGCGAAATAGAAGATATGTGTGGTGGAATGTTGTTTCTATCGTTTGTAACATGCCCAAAACAAATGCAACGGCGCGGACTGACCTATGACCTATGTGCTCTAGTCACATGACTGATCATGTGACCCAAGCCAACTCCAACCGCATTTCTTTGTGTACATATCAGCTTGCTTGGGTAGCCAAGTAATTCGTAGATTGTAAATAATTAGTTAAATTATTTCTCAAAGACCTGAAGATGATTCAGTTTATTACTGGCAGTATTGTGCCGACGGGGCTGAGAAAAAGACTGCGAAATTTACTTGGAAGGAAGGTAAGCGATTGAAAATCCAAGCGAGAGATGCAATCAACATGGCTATTTCACTAATCCTTCGGAACGTTGTGAGTGACGAGGCACGTCCGGAATTGTTGAAACATTCCCGAGTGTCTCTCGTGTTTATTCAGTCACATACTGGTCAAATAAGGTCTTCATTCATCATTAAATCCACATTCCTACATTTTGTAATATTTTGTTGTCCTAAAAATATTATCCACAACAAATCAATATTTCCCCCATCTGTAGATTTTGTTCTATCCTTGAAAGCAGTATGGTGTTTTTTTCGTGGTTGTACATGGTAATTTGGAAAATGTAGTAATCTTCCAGATTTCTGTGTGAATAGTGGAATATATTGTGTGTCCCATGGCCAAGAGTACAGTGAAGACTGATTTGTAACCTCAACCATTCTACTCAACATATCTGATGACCTACATGCCAGTTTTATTTTGTGAGCACAGACATGCTACTGCCTGCTTGAAGGAGGGAAGGACTATTCAAGAGATTGATCATGTAGTATATGTAAAAATTATATAAAGTCAAGATTTACTTGTGCTAGGCTGAAAAGATTTTGCATACATTTTCGTTCAGCAATGAATGATATTGAAAGGAAACTTTCCATACACCACCATGTTTGTTGTTGGATTGATTTTATGAAATTCATCTTTATAATGATGTGAGACTGGCAAATTCTGCTTCATACTCAAGGGACAGTTTCTGTATGTTAATCTGAGTAAGACTTCCGCCCGTACCCCCTCTCAAAATTATATGTAACCAATAGGATTGAGTGGCAATGCATGCACGTACAACTTTTGGGAGGGGAATACGGATGGAAGTCTTTTCTTGATTTAATCAAATACAATTCCATGTGTCCTTTGGACCACTGTTAATGCATTATATTGTGTACTTGTGCAGGATGCAGAGGTGAATTATTCTCTGTCTGTACAGACAATGTCCGACAAGGAAAATGTACCAAGTTTACGCATGCTGAGAAAGCCTGATACGTTAAATCTACCTCGAAATGCGTTAAAATTAAAGAACATGGTGAAAAGGCCTCTGCTGTTAAGCAATGATATATGTCAATGTTTCGATGTTGTTATGTGATAATATCAGGAGGGGCAACCAGTAACTGGATTGATAACTGATATTGAATCACTGGTGCAAGACCTGGAATATTTCACTTCTGTACTTAGGTATACCGCTGTATACAAATGGAGCTATTGTGTCGGTGAAATATTCCAATCATGCTAATCAGGGTTTTAACCTTGACCTACTAAATTTCAAGGGTCCTTTCAGTAAATATAATGGTCCTGTAAAGTAATGAAATGGTGTAGCGTACTGTACAGTAAGATTTCATAATTACTTTATTTACATGAATTGTATAATTTTTGTCGAGAATTTGGTACAAAGAATATTATTGTGTCCCCCTCTTGACACAATAGATATTTTTTTGGCATCCATTTTATACATTTGTGCGTCATGTAAAACCCTGATGCTAATGAATCTGTTAGAAAACAAGTAATGCTCACTTAGGTCTTTCCTTTGGTCTTGAAAAGTTTGATCATTGCCTTGAAAAGTTTGATCATTGCCTTGAAAAGTTTGATCTTTGCCTTGAAAAGTTTGATCTTGGCCTTGAAAAGTTTGATCTTTGCCTTGAAAAGTCCCTCAAGTTACAAAAGAACCAGTGAATAATATATGTTGCTGAATATAGAGCACTAGTTTCACCCTTCCTCACAATCATCACAGGTTTGGAATTCTAGAGAATCTGTGTTTTTCTAGAAATTCTGATTGAGACAACTTTGGACAATGTTTGCAACTAAATACAGCTATTATGAAGAGGCATTTTATTTTAAAGTTATGTACAGTAACCATGGTAACACTGATGTTGTATGAAGTTCCAGGTCACCACAGCTTTTGGGAAGTAAGGATTATCTTGTGACAAATAATTTTGTTCTGTTGTTCAGTGATCAGTTTTACAGCTATGTGTTAGCTAGCATGTGCATCAAATCAGTGTTTGAATTCAAGAGGGGTCCTTGGTGTTGGCTGATCTAGGGATCACCTAATTTTTGTAATGCAAGGGTTAGAACAAGGACCACATTTCTTTCAGACTTAATTTTTGCAAATGGGTAACTCGTCTTATATGCCTTTTTAAAAATTCTTCTTTCAGTTACAATGTCGCTTGGAGCGAATGGAGCGTCGGATGTCAATACTCAAACAGAAGGAGGAATCCCATGATACTCACGTGGCGCGGGAAGCGGCTATTGAGGCGGCCTTGGCGATCCCCCCAGACAAGGGGGTCAAAAGGTGTGTCATCAGTTGCAGGATACTGACAGGGGGTGACAGTGTCACGGTGGTTGTCGTGGGAACCGATGCTGCGATTCTGTTTGCATGTGAAATATGACTAGGATTGGGAAGCTCATGTGCTGCCCATCAGTGGGACTGGCATTAGTTAATATAAGCATGATTGCATCATAACTGGGTTGTCATAACTTTAGTCCTCCGTCAAGATATTGCTGAAATATTGCTATAAGTACCGTAAAACCATATTCACTCACTCATTCACCATGTCTATTTACAACTTAGTCATTCTGCACTGAATACAAGGCTTTCTTGTCAATGGCTAATATATATACTGACCAGGTTGCCTCATGGAGTTGGTCCCCACATGTGCAAGGGGGATGAAACGATACATCAGTGCACCAATATATCTCAAGTTTGCATGTGACGATTCGATACGCGATACATTTTTTCTTTTCATCAAAACAAGACTTACATTGCTATAAAAATTCCCTATGCTCATTTAATGACGCTCATCCCAGCTCTTTTGTCAGTCAAATTTTGCAGAATATTTTCAAGTTCACTACTAAATATAGCCACTACGAACATGTGTCTTCAGCTAGCTTCTCCTTTGGAACCTGTTTTGAAATATTTATAGTCATGAAGTTCCCATGTGATTTGGTTTTTAATATGTGTACTGCGATACATATCATATCATGACCTAGGTATCATGATATGTATCGTATCGTGGCCTGGCTGTATCGTTTCACCCTAACTGTCTGTATTTCTTTACTCTTTACTCGCGGAATAAGCTGCATAATGGTTCAATTCTCAGATTTAACATTGATTATGATTCCAAAGTGGGTATTTTTCCATGTGCACATGTGCAAGGGGGATGAAACGATACATCAGTGCACCAATAATTCTCAAGTTTGCATGTGATGATTCGATACGAGATACATTTTTTCTTTTCATCGAAACAAGATGTACATTGCTTAAAAAATACCCTATGCTCATTTAATGACGCCCATCCCAGCTCTTTTGTCAGTCAAATTTTGCAGAATATTTTCAAGTTCACTACTAAATATAGCCACTACGAACATGTGTCTACAGCTAGCTTCTCCTTTGGAACCTGTTTTGAAATATTTATAGTCATGAAGTTCCCATGTGATTTGGTTTTTAATATGTGTATCGCGATACATATCATATCATGATATGTATCGTGGCCTGGCTGTATCGTTTCAACCTAACTGTCCGATATTTCTTTACTCTTTACTCATGGAATAAGCTGCATAATGGTTCAATTCTCAGATTTAACATTGATTATGATTCCAAAGTGGGTATTTTTCCCTCATAGAGGAAGAAAAACTCTTCTTTATTTTTTGATTATCATTGCCATGTCTCAAGTCTCACTTCCATAAACGTCTGAGACCTGCATCACTTCAGGCTTTTCTCCCGGATTAAGCTGACATATAACTGGAATACTGTTAAAAGCAGCGTTAAACCCAACTCACTCACTCACTTCCATAAACAATGTGACCCGAAAAGATCCGGGGTAGAATAGGTCTTTAGCAACCATGCTTGCTGTAAAAGGTAACTATGCTTGTAGTAAGCGGCGACTAACGGGATCAGGTGGTCAGACTCGCTGACTTGGTTAAAGCATGTCATCGATCCCAATTGCGTGGGTTGATGCTCATGATATCAATCACTGGATTGTCTGGTCCAGATTTGATTACTTACAGACCACCGTCATATAGCTGGAATATTGCTGAGTGCGGTGTAAAACAACAAACCGACCAATCATAAACAATGTTTACATTGGCAAAAATGTGATGAATAGTGAGTTAGTGCCAGAGACACTGGTAATATAAAAAATCACAACATTGGACAATCATGGAAATATATATTTTCAGGAAAGCACATCAATCAGCAACAGAGAAAGATGGTCTTCCTAGCAAGCGGGCTGCACTAGATAAGGAATCTCCGCGTAACCTTGGAAACCGATCTGTGCACAGAACTGTAACAAAGACTGTGACCAAGTCCCAGCTGGAGGTGGCCGAGTCTGACATTGATGATGATGATGATGATGATGATGATTCGGACAAGGAGGTTGTTATGGAAGGGGAGGAAACTCTGTTAAAGACAGACTGCACATATCACGTGACATGTTGTGAAGCAAGGTCACGGACTATTGACAATATTTCGTATCCAAATTTGTGTCGGAGTGCACGATCACAGACCTTAGGTAATACAAGAAAGTATTCTTTGTTAGTTTCAGGTGGCAAGGTAGTCAAGTTGATGGATTGGATGAGTTCATAGTTGTTTGATCTGGTTTGTGTTTGTGTGGGTGAAGAGGCAATACTGCAGTGGTGACCATGTCTAATACGAGTATGGATGATCTTTCCACCTGTGAAGATCCAGGTTAAAATTGGTTGTCAGCAATCCATGCTTGTCGTAAGAGGCGAGGAAACGGGATCGGGCAGTCAGACTTGCTAACTTGGTTGATGCATGTCATAGCATCCCAATTGTCTAGATCGATGCCCACAATGCCAATCAGTGAATTGTCTGGTCCAGACTCAATTATTTACAGACCGCTGTCATATAGCTGGAATATTGCTGAGTGCGTCTTAAGCAACAAACAAACAAAATATAGTCTTTCCATTGTGAACTTTTGACTTTCACACAAATTCAAGTGGGATGCATGTCCCATTATTCTGAATGTTGAAGGCGTTGAAGTCTTTTAGTCCACAAAATGGATTTAAAAAAAATTCAAACCCACATCATTTGCTAAACTGTCCTGAGGTAATATGCTTGGCTTGGATAGTTGTTCACACTGACAGCTGATATAGCAGAAACCAGATAAGGTCGTAAACACAAATACTTTGTGTAAGGCTTATTGACCCAATCAAATGTTTTAGACCATTGTGATGAGACACTATTACTGTTGCAGTTGATTTGAGCCAGGGATTCACTGGCTATTTTGAACATGCAACTGACACAACTAGAGATCATTATGCAAAATTAGAGGAATTATATGTCAACCATAACATGGTTAAAGTCGGAGGAATCATTTCGGGACTTGTTGATGCTACTTCCAGATTCTCAGTATTTCTCCATTACAATATTGGGGGCACAGGGGGCCCAGTCGTCTAAGGCGCAGCAATTCACTGTGCAGAGTTGCTTCCCTTCGGCACGCCAGAAACCTATGATTGTGGGTTCGAATCCCCGATTATGTTTCTAGGTTTGTCAGCACCATACCCGTGCTCGTGGGTTTCACCGAAGTGGTAAACGTCTGAGACCTGCATCACTTCGGTCTTTTCTCCCACATTAAGCTGACAACTGGAATACTGTTAAGAGCGGTGTTAAACCCAACTCACTCACTCACTCCATTACATTATTACATACAGAAATCAAATGCGTTGTTTGGAATGCTATTCCCAATTAGATCCCAGTATCCTGTGCTTTTTTTTTTACATTGTAACCAAAGTGGTCAACACCTCACACATGCACTTTGGGCCCCTCTCCCACATCAAGCAGACACTGATATTATTGAAAAAGTTCCAAGCAGTGTTAAACCCAACTGACCTACTCAAATGGTTTCATGCGATGTTGTTGTATTGTATAATTGTGTTCTGTTTTATTTCAGTTGAAACACCCACTTGGAGGTTCAACAAAATAACAAACTTGTACCAACTTGAAGGGACAGAGGTAAGTGACAAGGGAATAGCAGTGTGCTGTAGAGTACGGGGATGACATCCCCTTGCCTGACTCACTGTCCATGACAGATGTAGGTATATTTACTTTACAATCTGATGGTTTAGAAATATCTGTCTGGCTGTTTCACTTGGAAAGTAAAGTTACAACTGAAGCAAGTATAGCTTGTTAAACCTGTGAAAGTTTTCATGCTTGCCATAAAAGGCGACAATGCTTGTTGTAAGAGGCGGCTAATAGGTTCGGGTGGTTAGGCTCGCTGACTTGGTTGATGCATATCCCAAATGCGTGGATCGATTCTCATGATATCAATCACCGGATTGTCAGGTCCAGACTTGATTATTTACAGACCACTGTCATATAACTTGAATATTGTTGAGTGTGGCGTTAAACAACAAAGTATAGTTGTTCAATCTTCTGTTAAAAATCAGTCCAGGGAATAAGAGATGGGTGGTGTAATTGATTTATCTTATTTCAGAACCTGGAAGACGAGGTATTTATAAAACGACATCAAAAGCCTGAGCTTGAAGAAAGGAGAAGAAAAAGGTGAGTTTCCAAGGAGAGAGGGTGTCAGTGGCCCTGATTTCTCAGGTGTTGTGATTGTTTGTGCAGAGTCGTGTCCCTTGATACATGTGCTTCAGGTGACACACAACCAGATGTCTTCCCATTGACTTCTACAGTAATGTTGTGGTTTTTTTGGGGGATATAGCCATCAGTATGTCCGCCGTCAGTCTGTCTGTCCGTCCGTCTGTAATCATTGTTTGTCCGGAGCATATTTCCTAAGCCGTACAACCTAGCTTCACAAAACTTGGTACACTTAACAATCAGGCTCAGTAGAAGTGCCTTTTGCTATTTAGAGATTTTTAGAATTTTATATTTTTGTCGTTTCCATGGAAATATGATGAACTTAGGAAATTTGAGGGTACTGCTCGTGTCCAGAGTATATTTTCTAAACCGTACAACCTAGCTTCGCAAAACTTGGTACACTTAACAATCAGGCTCAGTAGAAGTGCCTTTTGCTATTTAGAGATTTTTAGAATTTTATATTTTTGTCGTTGCCATGGAAATATGATGAACTTAGGAAATTTGAGGGTAGTGCTCTTGTCCGGACCATATCTCCCGAACCATTCAACTTAGCTTCTCAAAAGTTTTTACGCCTATCAAGCAGGTTGTCTAGTGGTGCCTTTGCTATTAACAGATTTTTTTCTATTTTTTTATTTTTTTTATTTTTTTTATTTCAATTGAAAATTGATGAACTTAGGGCAATGTCCTCGTCTAGCGTTATCTTCTAAACCATGCGACAGAGATTCACCAAACTTTATGCACATATCAATCATGTTCACTAGTAGTGCAGTTTGTTATTTATAGATTTTAATCTTTTTAATTTGTAGCCCCTGACATATAATTCTAAGGTGTACTATTTACCGATATCATATACTATATATGATGTGAGCTACATAACCTAGTACACTCTCTTTATGCCTTTGTGTCATGAGGCTACTACAGAGCTATTCATATGCGAATCTGCGAAGTTAGTGTTATTACAATTTCATGAGATCATCAGAAAGTGAGCTTCATGAACCAATATTTAATAACCTAAATAACCTAAATTTCTAGTTTGGGCATCAAGGAAAAAGATTTCCTTGCCAATCTAAATACATTTGAAGGTACACACAGTTTACCGACATGCCACGTTGGGGTGATATGTCATCTTCGGATGACTCTTGTTTATTAATAACTAAGCGTTTACCAGCTATGACATATCTGTATGTGTGTAAAGTTTGTCCTTAGAGCAGCAATAAGAACAATGACAGTGACTACCTGAGCCAGCTCCTTTTCTGAGTACAGAAAGCTTACACACTTCCCCCAGTTCCGTACCAAATGTCAGTTGCTTGAAAATATCTGTGATCACATGCAGCATAAGTCATGATGTTAAAAAAATGGCATTGATATTGAAAAAAACATGGTCAGTTTTAATTACTGGATGGATGTACATTTCAAAATCACAAAATCATCCAATCACAGCTGCCAGATTATTCAGTCTGCAAAACTGCTTGTCAAACAACTGATTCTGATTTGATGTAGTAGAACCTTCACCAGCCCTGTCTCAGTTTGAGCTTTCCTCCCACATTGCTGACTTTCTGTGATGTAAGTGGAATACTGTTGAAAGCCACTGTCAGGTCATCTTCCCGAGGCAAGAGAGTTAACTGACTTTAAAAGTCCAGTTTCCACCCTTGCCGAACTAGGCTGGAATTCCTGGGTTTGGATCGTAGCACCACCAGTGGTTACTACAAGTTATGTCCCTTTTAAACCTCTCCTATGGACCAATCAGATTCCTACTCTCGTATCACTGGCATTTGATTTAAACAAATTGGCGGCGCCCAGTCAAGACGATAATCAAGGTCTATATTGGGATAAAACGGGTCCTACATCGCAAAGTGCATGAAATCAAGTGAGCACCTTGATTAAAAACATGAAAAGATTTGGAAAATATCTGTTGACGAGTTGGTGGTGCACATGCTTTGCAAATCCTACAATCGACCAAAATCAGCACGACAGTTTACAAACCGGATTTCGATTTCGTTGCACTATTTTGATTGGACTAGGCATAGACTCGTTAGCCCAGCCAAAATTTTCTGAAACTTTCTGAACCCAGGTTCATAGATTCTGTCTGGATGTCACTCTGACAGCAATCGACGGTCAAACGTTTTTGTCTTACTTTCTCATCGTTTGTGTTTTAGATGGGACTTGCAGCAGCTACGTGAACAGCGGAATCTGCTGCGTCTGAAAGAAAAGGAACAGCGAATTGTCCACAATACCAAAGAAGATGACGAGAGTCATGTGGAGTCATTCATCCCTTGTCTGGATGATAGTAAGTCCTGCTTGCCGGAACTACTTTCAAAAGTTTCACAGTCCACATCACTCTCCTACCCAGAGTTCCAGTACCTCTGCCACAGGCCAGCGCCATGTGACAATTCGTCACATCTTTCACAGTCCATTCAAGATATTGCATATGCTTTTCATCCGTTTCATGTTTGACAAGTCTACACATTTTCATAAACAAATGTCAAAGAATGGTTAACTTTCATTGAGAAAGTATGCAAATATGTAAAAATCTACTTGTTTTTGCGTAGTTGCAAGTGGAGCCGTACAACAAATGTAAACAAAGGATAACTACGAACTGTCACATGGCGCTGGCCTGTGGCAGAGGTACTATGCTTGCTGGCTGCCACCCTGGGTAGGAGAGTGATCACAATCTGGTGCAGTGGTGACTTGGCATTACACCAATTTAGGGAATTTGTTTCTGGTAGTGATGTGATGCTAAGTCATCACTGTGCCTGAATGTGGACTTGTATGACCTGTAACAATTACTGTAGTGTCGGCCAGGGTGTAATGAGTCCTACAATTAACTGCTGCTTCTTGTTTGTACGAGATGTAACAGGTTGTCATTCCTTGTTGTCAAACACTATCAGGATTGGTACAGTTACTGTCAAACTGATTGTTCTTACTTCTTTAGCGGTAGCCTAGTGGTTAAAGCATTCACTCGTCTTGCTGAAGACCCACACATGGGTACAATGTCTGAAGCCAATTTCTGGTGTCCCTTGCTGTGATATTGCTGGAATATTGCTCAAAGCTGTGTAAAACCATATTCACCAACTCTTGCTACTCTGTAAGGGGTTTGTGAGTAAATCAATCTCATTAAAATCAGACCTCTGTTCTCGCTACTGCTAAACAAAGATCTGAGAACATCCCATTAGGGGTCACGTCAGAACGACCTTTCATCCGACCAATCAGAGCATCACTTACCAGATTAAGAAAGTGACCGTCGGAATGTAATTACTGATCATGCAGCCTCGAAAACTTAAACACGGGGTATTCCGAACGATAGTTACGGGTTTAACGACTGAATCCATACAATCGAGACCATCTATTAGCCATTCCAGAATGTTCTTTTGTTCAGGTTTCAAATTTGTAATCGAGAATTTGTCAAAATATGTTTCGAAGCGTAGTCGCCAATTTGAAATTAGTGCCGTAAAGCACGAGAAAGCTGCCTTCTGATTGGTCATTCCATTGGTCGGTCAAAGTTCGTGCAAGGTCGGTCTGGCATGACCCGTAATGGGATGTCCTCAGATCTTTGTTTAGCGGTAGCGAGAACTAAGATCTGATTTTAATGAGATTGTGAGTAAATGACATGGTGTATTTTATCCATAGTGAGTGAATTTGATCCATGTTAATTGATGTGATTTTGTTTCAGTCACTCATATTGAGGTGGGAGAGAGGCTCACAGTAACAGCGTTCGGACAACCTATCCCCCATATGAAGCCATTGTGAGTATATTCTCTCAGCGTTCTTAGCACAAAGATGAGTGTTACTCCCATACTTCAACATAGACTTATGACAGTTGTAGCGCTAAGATCACTTTGCAGCGTTAGAAACTAACAGTTTTAAACCACTAGTCCTTATAGTGAGTGAGTTGGGTTTAACGCCGCTTTTAACAGTACTCCAGTCAGCGTGTCAGCTTAATGTGGGAGGAAAGCCAGAGGTGATTCAGGTCTCAGACGTTTACCACTTTGGTGAAACCCACAAGCATGGGTCTAGTGCTGACAAACCTAGAAACATAATCGGGGCGAACCAGGATTCGAACCCACAATCACAGGTTTACTGGCGTGCCTAAGGGACGCAACTCTGCACAGCGAATCGCGGCGCCTTAGACGACTGGGCCACCCGTGCCCCCTACTAGTCCTTATAATAACATAAAGCAAAACCCTAAAAAACGGCAAATTTCTACTAGTCCTTATGATGCCTTAACTATTGGGCAGTTTGGCAAGGACTATAGGACCAGTGCCAATTTCTAACCCTGCTTTGTGGACGGGACCTTGTCTGTATGGGCTTTGGGGCTGAAGTGATTACTTATGCTTGTTGTAAGAGTTGACTAAAAGGGACCTGACTTGTGATTACAAGTCACCATTCCTTGATGGCATGGATCATATAGCCGGTCTAGACTCCACTATATATTTACAGGCCGTCATGATATAGCTGGAATGTTGTACGTATGGCATACAACCACATTTGCTAGCTCACATCTACTCCCTCTTGTGTTATAGGGGTGGTGGGGTAGCCTAGTGGTTAAGCGTTCTCGTCACACTGAAGACAGGGTCACAATGTGTGAAGCCCATTTCTAGTTCACCCGCTGCAATATTGTTGGAATATTGCCAAAAGCGGCTTAAAACCATACTCTCACTCTTGTGTTATACTGAAGGAAAAAATAAGGGAACATAGAAATATTGTAGAATCATGTTTACTGTTGAGTTCAGTATGAATAATTCATAGCAATGATATACGTCACTTAGCATGTTGTGTGTTCACCATGTTTACTACTGTCACAAGTAATGTCGGGTGCTTACAGCATATGCTTCACTTCATATGCCGACCCGTGAAGATCCGGGGTAGAATAGGTCTTCAGCAACCCATGCTTGCTGTAAAAGGCGACTATGCTTGTCGTAAGAGGCGACTCACGGAATCGAGTGGTCAGGCTCACTGACTTGGTTGATGCTTGTCATCGTATCCAATTGCATGGATAGATGCTCATGATGTCAATCACTGGATTGTCTGGCCCAGACTTGATTATTTACAGACCGCCATCATATAGCTTGAATATTGCCTAGTGCGGTGTAACAAACAAACAAACAACCAAAAACTGCACATGCCAAAATGTTGATACTGATGTTATTTGTGTACATCAGTAGGTCGAAGAATGAGAATTGTTAAGTCAGTTTGTCACTGTTATTCAGTGGTATTTGTTTTTAGATAAAAGTTTATTTAAAATGCTTTTTTTTTTTTTCAGAGAATTTGAACTTCCCTGGGAGACCAACCGCCAGTGTACGTTAGCATCTAGGAAATCTACTGTGTACCGTCCCAGGAGGAGATGATAGGTGCTGGACCTTATATTGTACTAACCTCAGTAACTAGCCCGGTCTAATGTGACTAGCCTGGTCTTTTGGACTAACCCGGTCTAATGTGACTGGCCTGGTCCTGTGGGACTAACCCGGTCTAATGTGACTGGCCTGGTCTTTGGGACGAGCCTGGTCTTATGTGACTAGCCTGGTCTTGTACGACTTGTTAGTTGTGTAAGTGTTCTCATGTGACCAGCCTGGTCTCGTGTGACTGGCTGAGCTGGTCTCATGTGACTGACAAGCCTGGTTCTATGTGACTAGCCTGGTCTCGTGTGACTGACAAGCCTGGTCTCTGTGTGACTAGCCTGGTCTCGTGTGACTGGCTGAGCTGGTCTCGTGTGACTGACAAGCCTGGTTCTGTGTGACTAGCCTGGTCTCGTGTGACTGACAAGCCTGGTTCTATGTGACTAGCCTGGTCTCGTGTGACTGGCTGAGCTGGTCTCGTGTGACTGACAAGCCGGTTCTATGTGACTAGCCTGGTCTCGTGTGACTGGCTGAGCTGGTCTCATGTGACTGACAAGCCTGGTTCTGTGTGACTAGCCTGGTCTCGTGTGACTGGCTGAGCTGGTCTAGTGTGACTGACAAGCCTGGTTCTGTGTGACTAGCCTGGTCTCGTGTGACAGACTAGTCCTGTTCTGTGTGACTAGCCTGGTCTCGTGTGACAGGCTAGTCTGGTTCTGTGTGACTAGCCTGGTCTCGTGTGACAGACTAGTCTGGTTCTGTGTGACTAGCCTGGTCTCGTGTGACAGACTAGTCTGGTTCTGTGTGACTAGCCTGGTCTCGTGTGACAGACTAGTCTGGTTTCGTGTGACAAGCCTGCTCTGACCATGGGGATGACAGTCTCCAGCAGATAAATCCATCTCAATATCTTCAGTCAGCTGTGACTAGCCAGTGGTTTTATCGTGGTTCTTGTGACTGATCAGGGCCCACTTGCACAAAGCGATCTTTGCGCTAAGACTATCGTAAGCCTATGTTAAAGTATGGGAGTTACGATCATCTTAGCGCTAAGATCGCTTTGTGCAAGTGGGCCCAGGTCTCCTGTGATCACCATTGTCACACAATTGATTCTTGACTGTGAAGCTCAACTTGCATTTTCTGACCAATACATCTGCAAGCAAGGCAGGGTCACCATGGGCCGTGGTTGTGTTGAGGGTGTTGTCTGTGCAGGTTCAGATTGAAGGAGGGGGCACTTGTTGCCATCTCATTCCTTGTCAAAGTAGTCAGTAAATCTTTACCATCAAATAAAAGTGTTCCACCTCTTCCACCACACCTATTCTGGGCGTACCAGTTAGTGTATCTGACGTCGGAAGAAGAATGAGTGTGGTCTCTAGCGTAGCCACAGATGAATGCCTGGGACGAGAAGGATGAACGAAATATCCAGCTGAGTCACACAACCTTATCACATGTCACCAGTCACACTCTCTCTACAACATTATTGGTTTGTTTTTGTACTGTGTTAATGTGTCCACTTGATAAAGGTGGACTGTCTGTCCAACTGTCCACTGACCGGGCGTCCAGGGGTCACCTGTGTCTTGCAGCCACTAGAGGTGAAACGATACACCGGTGCATCGTGAGTTTTCATGTGCCAAAACAATACCTAACACATTTTTTTCTGTCTGTGTTGATACAAAACAATACACGTGCTGAAATAAATTTTTGCTAGTTTAATGACCCCCCGGCGTTTTTGTCAGAAAAAATTGCAAAATATGTTGTAATTAGTTCACTAAACTAAAAATAGCTGCAGTGAACAAGTCTGCAGCTAGCTTTTTGTTTTGAACCTGCTCTGAAATATTTATGGTCAAAACATTTCCACGCGATTTGAGGTAAATATGCATATCGCGATAATTATCATATCGTGACCTTTGTATCGTGATATGTATCGTATCGCGTCCTTGCTGTATTGTTTCACCTCTGGCAGCTATGATTTGTAGAAATGTAATGGTGGCTTTTCCAAATGTCATTTCCCATTTAAAACTAGCAAAATCAGCATTTGATTTTAAATTGTAATGGAGCTTTCATAGTGTCAAGATTACATTACCCAAGAAGATTTGTATTTACGACAGTCTGTTGCGTGTATTCATTGAACAGGCACCTTTGTGAAGGAAGTTGTTTGAGCAGACCATCCTCAACGTTCTCATTGTTATAACTGTATCATGTGGTTAGATCATGAGCATTAGAAGACACATCTTCCTGAGGCAAGAGAGTTAACTGACTTTAAAAGTCCAGTTTCCACCCTAGCCGAACTAGGCTGGAATTCCTGGGCTCTATCGCAGCGCCACCAGTGGCTATTACGAGTTATGTCCCTTCTGAGCCTCTCCTTTAGACCAATCAGATTCCACCTCTCGTATAACTTGCATTTGCTTGAAACAAAACAGTGGCGCCCAGTCAAGACGATCTGATCGATAATCAAAGTCTATGTTGTGATAAAACGGGTCTTACATTGCGCAATGCGTGAGCACCTTGATTAAAAACATGAAAAGATTTGGAAAATATCTGTTGACAACGAGTTGGCGGTGCACATGCTTGCAAATCCTGCAATTGACCGAAATCTGCAGGACAGTTCACGAACCAGATTTTGATTTAGATTTCGATGCACGATTTTGATTAGACTATGCATAGACTCGTTAGTCCAGCCAAAATGTAACTCCATAATACCAGCCTAGTTCGGCAAGGGTGGAAACTGGACTTCTATAGTCAGTTAACTCCCTTGCCTTGGGAAGATGTAGAAGACACAGCTCAGCAGTACAATATGAGACTGGTATTTGAAGTGGAAACGCAAAGTTACGTCAACAGTTTCCGAAATGTCACTTGTCTTGCTGTGTGGAGCAATTATAAGAAACAGATTCAGCGTTAGAAATTGGCACTAGTCCTATAGTCCTTGCCAAACTGCCCAATAGTTAAGGTATCATAAGGACCAGTATCAATTTGCCATTTTTAAGGGTTTTGCTACATGTTATCATTTCAAGGACTAGTCAGCTAAAAATGTTAGTTTCCACTGCTGCAGATTTTGTCATCAGTTACTATGACAACATCTTGAAATCTGGATGAAGGTGATGGAGATTTTTCCGATCTGCTTTTCAAGTTGCGTATAAAAATGTTACGGTTGTTAATTGTACTGTTTTTGTTTGGAAATGACACTTTGATTTGCCTTTGCCTAACTGGAAGTGTGATTACAGTACTGTGGTGGGGATGAGGTGTTGTACACACCTCACAGGGACACTTGACTGAATGTCAATTCAGGGCTGATCCAGGACAGGGGATGAAGGACTCCGGCGGCCCATTTCACAAAGTGATCTTCATTGCACAGTTGACTGAAGCTTGTACACAGAGCTGTGAGTTTCTTTGGATGAAAACCTTGATCAGGGGTCTGTTCCACAGCAATCTCAGCACGATCTTGTAGGTTTTTGTTTCGGTATGTGAGTTATGACAGTCGGAGCGTGTATAGTCCGCCTGGTCAGGGCAGTGCATGGTTTACTTATGTGTATGGGAGAAAGAGTGGCCTAGTTGTCTTGGGCACAACAATCTGAAGATTTGGCCAGAGCTGCTGACTGTTGGTCGGAATCTTAAGATCCGCCGCCGTTGTGGGTCATGGTCTGTCAGCACCGTGTGGGTTTCACTAAAGAGACATTGCTTGTGTGAGATGAATGAAGTTACATGACAGTGCTTTGCAGACCATCACTAATCTCTCTGTCACTGAAACTGGTGTACCTTTAAACTCAAGACACTGGTAATTACTGTTAAAAAAACTGAGAAAGTTGGAAGAATGATTTCAGATGATAAATAGAATCTCACCATTGAAACTAGTATAAGACTCCTTGGCAAGCCTCTGTATAAAACTCTTATTGACTTTTGTTGATATACATGATTTAAAAGACACTCAGGGCGGATCCAGCAATTTCTAAAAGGGAAGGGTAAAAAATTTCAAAATCCTTTCTCAGATACATGTACTGCCTACAACATACTATATTTGGGTATCGGAGGGGGGAGGGATTCCGTCTCTTTGGACTTTCCTTCACAAATGTTGACATGCTGTGGTTCTACAAGATACCATTCTATAGCAGCGTTCAGCACACACCATACAGTGAGACCGAGAACCAAGATTTTTGAGCCAAGCATTAAGAAATCTTTTGTTTCAAATAACATAGAAATAGGCCTACTGTTAACTTCCATGTGATGATTGTACTAACTGGGGAGAAGGGGGATAATAGGACGCTTCATCTCTTCAAAAGAAGATAATCCTGGTTGTATTTTGTTCTACAAAGTGGCGTCCTTCCACTCCACTCCACTGACTATTGTGTGTACTGCTACATGTAGTGTAGGGTATCATCTCAGCCGCCGACACCGTATATCATGTCACGTCATAGTCATCATTCCTGTTTGTCCCTCTGCTTTTATTTCCATCTAACATTCAATATTCCTGTTCCATATAGCATAGTGTTTTATTAGATGTTCTAGCTCGGTCTTGTACTATTATTTCTTATGCTGTTTGGCAAGAATTTAGAGACAAAAAGTGTTTGTCGGTGTTATTATCTGTGGTATAAAATAATCTTGTATAAATGTACAACACGTCCATGTACAGGTTTGTAATGTGGGTCTAAGGGACATAACTCAATCCCAGAGTTGTCTCCCTTCAAAGAACTGAAAACTGCTGTCACGATGTCAGCATGTGGTTTGGTCTTACGATTTTCTTGGCAACTTTCGGTCCAATAATGACAATGAATTAAATAATTTAATGGATTATGAAGAATCATGTCATGTACAAGAGACTCTACCAGGGAAAGTTAGGCGATGAGAAAAACTCTTAAGAACCAAAATATGATAATTCAACAACAATTACTCTTCTCTAAACTCAAGTTTCAGATTAAGCAGTAATTCAGTTACCTTGGTTACTTGAGAGAGTTCACACTATTAGGTCAACGTAATCATATATGTATTTACAAAGATGGGGATTACTAACCCAGAATGTCTGCTGAATGACGGAAACTTACTGGTAAGATTAAATCTGAAATTTGAACTGTCTAAAAAAGCTGTACATAGATATTTGCATCAAATACAGGCTTGCTCCTTCCAGGGCATGTGTCCCAAACAGATCTTGCAGCTGTTGTGATTTCTCTACTTTAACATACACTAACGACAGTCTTAGCACTAAGATCCATGTAGTTGACTAGACTGATGCTCAAACACTGGTTAGTGAAGCTTAGAAGTTGCTTTAAAAACGTCGAGTAAAGACCGTCCGTGCCTTGTGCGAGCCTGACGGATGTAAGAAAGCTTCATGGTGAGCTGGGGACAGGTGTTCATTGTGTTAAGCTCGCTTTCCGACATCGTTAAGTGTTTGTGTCTGACCGCCTTCCCCAAGCAGCAGGGGAGACTACTCCATCATATCTTTTTCTTTTCCTTTTTAAGTTGAACTTACTATACGATATGAATTTTTGAAATTGTTGATGTTTGCATGGTTTCTTTTTAAGTGTGCATCATCTCTGAATACGTACATGATTTTCCATGTTGATGAAACCGGTACAAAAGAATCAAATTTGCATTGAATTCTCACCCAAAAAGGGCGACACAACACATTTGCTACTACTTTTTGGTGTAAATATTATACACTTTACCAACTCTTCTTATTACTTAGGATCATTTTTTAAAGTCATTCAGCCTGTGCTAAACCTATGTAGGCAAAAAAATTAAACCCACAACTTGTGTTTCAGGTAAAATGAGGACCCAACAAGCATAGGTCAGGTTTTTTAGATTTAGAACTGATTTCATTCAAAAGTAACATGTCGTTTGACGGCTGTTTCAAGCTGTGATTAAAACATTTGGGTCGTAAGTGGGACAATGGTCGGTCAGGTTGCCTGAAACACAAGTGGTTTCTATTGCCTGATCACCAGCATGAGTCAGTCGTCTTTGATGTCACATTTGTCAGCAACCCATTCTGTGCTCACTTCATTCTGTATACATCACAACCCACTGTTAATTGTACATACATTAATCATGTTTACGCTGCTGTGAAATAAAGTAGTTTAATGTTTTGTTTGTTGTCGATAGTTTTCATTTGTGAATATCATCTGGAGTACTGATGATACACTGAGTGAACGCCGCACTCGGCAATATTCCAGCTATATGACGGCGGTCTGGAAGTTATCGAGTCTGGATCAGACAATCCAGTGATTGACATCATGAGCACTGATCTATGCAATTGGAATACGATGACATGCATCAACCAAGTCAGCAAGCCTTGAACACCTGATAGTTGCCTCTTATAATCGCTTTTACGGCAAGAATAGGTTGCTGAAGACCTATTCTACCCTGGACCTTCGTGAGCATGTATACCAGTGACTGAAAACATGAGGAACAAGAGTGCTCTGAGAGCACAACATCGCCCGCATGAATTCTTTTAAAGTGTTTATATTTTCTTTGTATTTTATGAAATAACAACAGTAGATGGCACTGCATTTGAAACAAATTGTGCAGAACATTTTGTTGGGAGTAATCCAGTCTGAATGCTAATGCCATAAGGATGTAGCTCACCCACAAAAGCTTTAAACAAGGAAACTAACTATAGTTATAGTTAGATATTGTGATATTCTCTGGAAACTGGAGGAGTAGATTTCATGAAGCTCCGTAAAACAGCGGCAGTAACTCTGTCAAAATTAGTCGAAATGAAACGGGGCTGCGATGTGCATATCATCAACATGTCGACATCTTGTGTGTAGAGTTTCAGGGATATTCTCTGGAAACTAGGAGGAGTTGATTTCACAAGCTTAGTACCCTCTGTGGGACGGACAGACGGACTGTGCCACGACAAAATCCCCCTACATTCAGTTTGTACAACAAACAGGTTGGAACCTTTTATGATCAGGAATCCAAACACGTAAAAGCCCTGGGAAGAGTGTTTTATCCTGTAGGTCCTGTAGACAAGTGGATTTGAACCCTTGTTTTGGTTAGGGGAGACAACACCCCCCCCCCCCCCCCCCCCTTTGAAAACCAAATGTTTGTTGTTTAATAATGCTGTATCTGTCCTTGTGTACATGGGGTGGCTGAAAAGCCTGACAATGCAACTGTTGTCACGTTGTCACAATGGCTGCAATGCATGACCTCCACTCCAAAGGGAACGAAGCCAAAAACAATAAAGGTATGTCTCCTAATCCTTTGTGGGGGAGACATAATTAAAAGAGTAGAAGATGGTAGTAAAGACATGATATTTATTGACACAATAATGTACAAAGAGTTCAATCAGCTGACGTCCATGGACTCTGACTTGGAATCATACTTGAATATCTTCAAGTGGTTATCTGCCCCTCCTGACATCATCAACTCAGGAAGCGACCAATCAACAGCCAGTATTTTGTCCTCATGACCTTCCATGTTGTACAGTGGGGCTTTCGGGCTGGAAGTCAACAGGGGCTTTGTTATAAAACTCAAGTCAATATTTTCTAATAATTATAAGCAATAGTGAATGAGTTGTGTTTAACACCACTTTTAACAGTATTCCAGTCATATCATGGCATGTCAGCTTATTGTGGGAGGAAAGCCTGAAGTGATGCAGGTTTCAGACGTTTACCACTGACAAACCTAGAAACATAATCGGGGCAAACCAGGATTCGAACCCACAATCATAGGTTTTTGGCGTGCCCAAGGGACGCAACCTACAGCGAAAAGACGACTGGGCCACCCCTATGATAAGCAAAAAAGCAACTTACCAAGCAGAAACAGAAAATTAATTAGAAAGCTGACATTTCAAAATGCTTTTGATTAGGTGGTCAAATTTCTCTCAGGGTTTGTATTCAAATGCAATTGTTCGGAAAATGTAAGAGCGTTTATTTTAGCAAAGTACCACTCACCAATCTCACCCAATCATTGGAGTGAGTCTGTGAGTAGGGTTTAACGGCGCTTTTAGCAACATTCCAGCAACATCACGAGGGGACACCAGAAAATGGGCTTCACACATTGTACCCATGTTGGGAATCGAACCTGGGACTTCAGCGTGACAAGTGAATGCTTAACCACTAGGCTACACCACCGCCCTCCAAATCATTGGACAACAAATATTTCTGAATGAAAAGTAAAAAAGATCATACCTGCGTGTGTCCCATAATTTCAGGATCGAGTCATGTGATCCGGAGATGAACTCGTATTGGTTGGTTGGCGACCAGGCCACGCCTATCACCCAGCCATTGTGAGATGTGAAGGAGCTCTTCACCACAGCTCCATCTGCAACAAACAGTGACTGGAATAAGTTATACTCCCGACAAGCCAGACAGGTCGTGACTCATAGATGTAACTGGCATGTCTTGAAAGTTGCAGCCTGCATTAATAAATCTAGGCCAGAGTGGCAAAACATCATGCTACAACGATATCGCCTGTTTGGTAGAGGGAGCTTATTGATTGGTGAACAAGGAGGTTCTTTAGATGAACCACACACACTAAAGTATAAACACGGAAGCAGATCATCAGGCAATGTTAGGCCTGTGAAGACGCCGGGTAGAATAGGTCTTCAGCAACCCATGCTTGCCGTAAAAGGTGACTATGCTTGTTGTAAGAGGCGACTAACGGGATCGGTGGTCAGGCACGCTGACTTGGTTGATGCATGTCATCGATCCCAATTGCGTGGATCGATGCTCATGATATTAATCACTGGATTGTCTGGTCATGCTGGTTCAGACTCGATTATTTACAGACCGCCGTCATAAAGCTGAAATATTGCTGAGTGCGGCTTTTAACAACCAACCAACCAACCAACCAACCAGGCAATGTTAACACGAGTGAGTGTGTGAGTTAGAATTTAATGTCGCATCGGCATTATTTCAACCATATTGCGACGAGACCAAGTTGATATATACACAATTTATTCATGAATACAAAGTTATTTTTAAAAACAATTTACAAAATTCAGTAGCTGTGTCTGTCTGAAACATGTGTCTGTGCTGATGCTGCTTCCTACCTTTGGACCATGGATCATACAGTCCGACGTGTCTTTCTGCTAATGCTGCTACCCACCTTTGGACAATGGATCATACAATCAAACATGTCTGTCTGCTGATGCTGCTATCCACCTTTGGACCATGGATCATACAATCAAACATGTCTGTCTGCTAATGCTGCTATCCACCTTTGGACCATGGATCATACAATCAAACATGTCTGTCTGCTAATGCTGCTACCCACCTTTGGACCATGGATCAAACATGTCTGTCTGCTAATGCTGCTACCCACCTTTGGAATGTGGATCATACAGTCTGACATATCTGTCTGCTGATGCTACCCACCTTTGGACCGTGGATCATACAGTCTGACATGTCAGTCTGCTGATGCTACCCACCTTTGGACCATGGATCATACAATCTGACATGTCTGTCTGCTGATGCTACCCACCTTTGGACCATGGATCATACAATCTGATGTATCTATCTGCTGATGCTACCCACCTTTGGACCATGGATCATGCAATCTGATGTATCTATCTGCTGATGCTACCCACCTTTGGACCATGGATCATACAATCTGATGTATCTATCTGCTGATGCTACCCACCTTTGGACCATGGATCATACAATCTGATGTATCTATCTGCTGATGCTACCCACCTTTGGACCGTGGATCATACAGTCTGACATGTCTATCTGCTGATGCTACCCACCTTTGGACCATGGATCATACAGTCTGACATGTCTGTCTGCTGATGCTACCCACCTTTGGACCGTGGATCATACAGTCTGATGTATCTATCTGCTGATGCTACCCACCTTTGGACCTTGGATCATACAATCTGACATGTCTGTCTGCTGATGCTACCCACCTTTGGACCGTGGATTATACAATCTGATGTATCTATCTGCTGATGCTACCCACCTTTGGACCGTGGATCATACAATCTGATGTATCTATCTGCTGATGCTACCCACCTTTGGACTGTGGATCATACAATCTGACATATCTGTCTGCTGATGCTACCCACCTTTGGACCATGGATCATACAATCTGACATGTCTGTCTGCTGATGCTACCCACCTTTGGACCATGGATCATACAATCTGATGTATCTATCTGCTGATGCTACCCACCTTTGGACCATCGATCATACAATCTGATGTATCTATCTGCTGATGCTACCCACCTTTGGACCATGGATCATACAATCTGATGTATCTATCTGCTGATGCTACCCACCTTTGGACCGTGGATCATACAGTCTGACATGTCTATCTGCTGATGCTACCCACCTTTGGACCATGGATCATACAGTCTGACATGTCTGTCTGCTGATGCTACCCACCTTTGGACCGTGGATCATACAGTCTGATGTATCTATCTGCTGATGCTACCCACCTTTGGACCTTGGATCATACAATCTGACATGTCTGTCTGCTGATGCTACCCACCTTTGGACCATGGATTATACAATCTGATGTATCTATCTGCTGATGCTACCCACCTTTGGACCGTGGATCATACAATCTGATGTATCTATCTGCTGATGCTACCCACCTTTGGACTGTGGATCATACAATCTGACATGTCTGTCTGCTGATGCTACCCACCTTTGGACCGTGGATCATACAGTCTGGCATGTCTATCTGCTGATGCTACCCACCTTTGGACCTTGGATCATACAATCTGACATGTCGGTCTGCTGATGCTACCAACCTTTGGACCTTGGATCATACAATCTGACATGTCTATCTGCTGATGCTGCTACCAGTGTCTGACTAAGTGGGGAGTAGGAGACGTCAAAGAACACCTTGGATCCTTGCTGAAACAAACATCAGGTTGACTTAGAGTGTGAGATGAATGACTTTGTTTGGATGCAGCAGCCTCAAACAAACCAGCAGTTGACAACATCAGTAGAGGTATACGAGGTGAGGTGAGGTGAAATGTTGTGTTAAAGATCATTACACTTACATAGTGGTGTCTGTCTGTCTGTCTGTCTGTCTGTATTTGTTGGTTGGTTGGTTTGTTGTTTAACGCCGCACAATATTCCAGCTATATGACGGCGGTCTGTAAATAATCGAGTCTTGACCAGACAATCCAGTGATTGATATCATGAGCATTGATCCACGCAAATGGGATCGATGACATGCATCAACCATGTCAGCGAGCCTGACCACCCGATCCTGTTAGTCGCCTTTTACGACAAGCATAGTCACCTTTTAAGGCAAGCATGGGTTGCTGAAGACCTATTCTACCCCGGAATCTTCACAGGTCGTCTGTATTTGTACTAGACCAGAGTAATGCAGTTTAACAAGGACTCACCTTCCCCTCTTTGGGCAGAGGTCATCAACAAGGATAAAATCATACAGCAAGGTCACAATACACATCACGATATGATACGTATCGCATAACGCATATTTGTGAAATGAGGTGAGGTGAAATTGGGTTTAACGTCGCGTCCAAGATTATTGCACTTATATAGCAACGTGCATGCACGTGTGTGTGTTTGTGTGGCTGCTTGTACTAGTCAGGACTGATGCCGATTTATAGTGCTAGCACACTGAGAAACCATGCCGCAGTTTAACATGAATACCCCGCAGACACAGTATACTGACTCCGAGCCGACCAGTCCTTGTTTTAGCCCCTTAATGCCGAGGGCCAGACAGGGTAACAACAAGTACCATCTTTTAACGTCTTTAGGTATGATGCAGTCGGGGATCGAACCCCGGACCTTCCGCTCTACCGTTAGACCACGGAGGCAGTCTCATCATCAGTGTGGGACCGACCCGAGGAGCGGTCAGCTGAATCTGAACAATCACTAGAGCCCGGAGCATGTTCCAAACGAGAGCCATCACCCTATCCTGAATGACGATCTGGTGAAAGAGAGCTTTGAGACCTGCCGGGCAAAGCAGAGTGCTGATTGTGCGAGCAAGAGCGGTGATCCCAAATAGCTGGAATATTGCTGAATCACTCACTCACTCACTCAACACATCAACAAAAGCCTTCCAATGTTGCTGACAACAGCACTAAATAACACCCACTCAACACATCAAATAACGCATACTAATGATGCTGACTACAACACTAAATACAACTCACTCACTCACGCAACACATCAACAAACACGTACCAATGTTGCTGACAACAGCACTAAATAACACCCACTCAACACATCAAATAACGCATACTAATGATGCTGACTACAACACTAAATACAACTCACTCACTCACGCAACACATCAACAAACATGTACCAATGTTGCTGACAACAGCACTAAATAACACCCACTCAACACGTCAAATAACGCATACTAATGATGCTGACTACAACACTAAATACAACTCACTCATGGAGTCACGCAACACATCAACAAACACGTACCAATGTTGCCGACTGCTTGGCTTCCTGCAGATCCCAGATCCTGATGGTGTGGTCCCATGATGCAGTGCACACTTCCTGTGAGTTGAGCCACACGACGGCCGACACGCCCTCACTGTGCCCTGACAATGTCAACATCGGGACCTGCGAAAACAGAGACTTATAGTTGTACAAATCATGTCGTGTCCAACAAATCTTCCTCATCGCATTGTACTGTTGTTACATTGGCACTTGTGTAGTTATAAACCCAATGATTCTTTTGTTTGTGTGTTGTTCAACATCAAACACAGCAATATTTCAGCTATATGAGGGCTGTCTGTAAATAATCGAGTCTGGAACTGACAATCCAGTGATTGATATCATGAGCATCAATCCACGCAATTGGGATACGATGACATGCACTAACCAAGTCAGCGAGCCTGACCACCCGATCCCGTTAGTCGCCTCTTAAAAGCATAGTCGCCTTTCACGGCAGGCATGGGTGAGGTGAGGTGAAATGGGGTTTAACGTCGCGTCCAAGATTATTGCACTTATATAGCGACGTGCATGCACGTGTATGTGTGTGTGTGGCTGCTTGTACTAGTCCGGACTGATGCCGATTTATAGTGCTAGCTCACTGAGATACCATGCCGCAGTTTAACATGAATACCCCACTCAGACACAGTATACTGACTCCGAGCCGACCAGTCCTTGTTTTAGCCCCTTAATGCCGAGCGCCAGACAGGGTAACAACAAGTACAATCTTTTAACGTCTTTTTGTATGACGCGGCCCGGGATTGAACCCTGGACCTTCCGCTCTCCGGGCGGACACGGCAGGCATGGGTTGCTGAAGACCTATTCTACCCCGGATCTTCACGGGTGTCAAACCCAATGAATGCAAAGAGTATTATTGTTGAAAACTGATCCAGACATTCACAGAAAAAACTAGCACCAAGAACTTACTCGTGAATGAACTTTTGTTTCAGCCGTTTTCTTCCTCTTTGAGGCGGACTCGGTGCCATCATCGTCTGAAACATCTGTGTCTCTGTCTAACCCTGGGGACAAACAATGTCTGCATATTATTTTCAAAAATATTTTTGGGAAGTATTTTCTGAAACAAACTATTTTTTTTAAAAAGTCATGTAAAGAAAAGTGATAAAAAAACTGACCTGCAGACCAGAGTTTCAACATCTTATCCCAGGATCCGGTACAGAACTGAAGAAAAGAAGACAAAGACTCATCAACTTGTACATGTGACCTTGTGTCGGCTGTGTTTGTTTAACCATGACTGAGTAAGTGTTAATGGACGCGGTCAGCAGTATTTAAGTTGTCGCACGTCACCATGACGACTGTGACCAGACAAACCTGTGACTTGAAAGCATGAACATCGACCCACACTCTCGGGACGACAAAGACACACCACCAGCCCAGTCACAGAGCCTGACCACCGGAATCTTTTTAGTCGATTCTTCCGACAACCATAGGACACTGGGGACCTATTCTTCCCAGGGCCCACTTGCACAAGCCATCTTAGCGCTAAGATTATTGTAACCCTATGTTAAAGTATGGGAGTTATGATCATCTTAGCACTAAGATTATTGTAACCCTATGTTAAAGTATGGGAGTTATGATCATCTTAGCACTAAGATTATTGTAAGCCTATGTTAAAGTATGGGAGTTATGATCATCTTAGCACTAAGATTATTGTAACCCTATGTTAAAGTATGGGAGTTATGATCATCTTAGCACTAAGATTATTGTAACCCTATGTTAAAGTATGGGAGTTATGATCATCTTAACACTAAGATTATTGTAAGCCTATGTTAAAGTATGGGAGTTATGATCATCTTAGCACTAAGATTATTGTAACCCTATGTTAAAGTATGGGAGTTATGATCATCTTAGCACTAAGATTATTGTAACCCTATGTTAAAGTATGGGAGTTATGATCATCTTAGCACTAAGATTATTGTAACCCTATGTTAAAGTATGGGAGTTATGATCATCTTAACACTAAGATCACTTTGTGCAAGTGGGCCCTGGAATCTCCATAGGGATTATCCTGAATACCGTTTTCACCATAATAATCACACTGCTCCATTACGATCCCACTGACCAACTTCTGGACCAATATTCAAACAATCTTCATTTTATAAGTGCCCTGACTAAGCTCAAAAGTATACCCATAGTACATCATGTATTTTGGGAGCTATGCTTTACTCGTGCTATAACCGAAGCGCGTAATAACGAGGGAACACTCACACTGTACGGAACAACTTGTAATGTGTGTGAAAAGTCGTACAAAAATACGCTATTTGAAGGGGGCGTGGCCTAAATGCAAATGTCCGATTGGGATTTTAAATTTTCCGGACCCCTGAGTACATGCATTCACTGTGTTTTCACTCTTCTTTCCAAAGTGAAAACATTGCTGCAGGTACCGGAGATGGTATGTCAACAAATCTGTTTTTAGGTACACCATTTCGTTCAATATTTTTTAATAAATGTTTTGATTAAATCTATGTTTTCATTTATATCATCCATTTCATTAGCACAGTCATATCATTCAACATATTATTTCAGCGAAATTGTGTGGGAACTGATCATACATTCCCTGTTATTTACAGAAACACTGTCCTGACTAACATATATGGCTGGGATTTTGTAGAATTTTCCTATTCGGAATATTCTATAAGTAATACATTACCACTGTTATACCGAGGCTGTTGTCTCCCACAACTGCTGCTATAGCGAAATCTACCACAGAGATCTCAATTACCTCATGCAGCACGTGCGTAGCCACCTAGCTGCCATGTGACACCCTTCACTCTTGTCTCCTGCGAGAGCAAGTGCTCGGGGGAATGGCGGGCAGCAGCCCAGTGGTAACGTATTACTTATAGAATATTCCGAATAGGAAAATTCTACAAATTACATTAAGTAATACGTTACCACTGTTATACCGAGGCTGACTACCACAGTAGGCGGTGGGGAGCACCTACAACCCGAATCCTGACTGCTAGCGTTCCTTCCGACCAGCGGAAGTAAACACCAAGGCGGAAGCACTCGATGCGCATGCACCTAGCTAGGCGTTACCCTATAGGAATACCAAAGCACTGTCAAGCACATACCGTAAGGCTCAATCGTCATTGCCAAAACGATTGGTGACTCCAAACGGCCCCACTGGATAGGTATTTCATCGCCGCAGCGGATGAGAACACTGTATCCGCGTGAGCTAAATCTTAGATCAGGTTAAACAGTCGAAAAGAGGGAAATTAATTTCCTTCAGACCATATATCCCAGAGCAAGCCTACTTAAAGTATGCATTAGGCATGTGACCTAATTCCAGTATTCGTAAGCATGTAGCGCAAAGTTGGAATACACGACAGACAATTAAATGCATAATTGTCAAAATACAAATAAGGACAAAACACACAAAAAGCCGCCTCACCTGTGGTGTGAGTGCGCTGGTTTGCAGGACCCCCACTCCTGTACCCATGGCGTGGGAACATTGAAGACGACCCAGATTGACCATCGTGCAAGGACTGACGACTGAGGAGTTTGGAATTGCGCTGGACACACCCCCTAGATGACCGCTTGTGCCGCGATCAGCGGCCCAAGACGGTGCACCCCCTCCACGTCTTCATCAGAAACCTTTCTTAGGTAATGATTGGCAAAAACCGAGTCAGAACGCCAGTAACAACCTCGTCATATTCTGTGAACAGAGATATTCGAGTGTAGGGCAAATGTTGCCGCTAGCGCCCTGATCTCGTGCGGGTTTGACCCCGCTACCGGTAACCCCCGAGACCGGTACGCCAGATTGATGACAGAACGAAGCCACAACGCAATCGAGTTGCGAGTTATGTCAACCGTGCTATTAGGGTTACACGATATGAACAGACGGTCACGCCCTTGTCTACGTTCATTCGAAGCCTTAAGATAATACTTAAGGGCCCTAACCAGACAAAGCCCTCTGTCCTCAGTATCAGCAGGATGTAAGATTTCTTTGAGGGATCTTACAGTGAATTCTCTCTCCGTTTGCCGGACTCTCTGATTCTTGGCGACGAAGCCCATGAGCAGGCCCAGGCGGACCGCTCCTTCGTCACCCCTATCGAATCGTACCTTGGCGACATCGAGTGCATGAATTTCGGATACACTGCCGCCGTGGCAAAGGAGAGGAGAAATGCTGTTTTCCAAGTCACATGCCGGAACGAAGCACTATGCAAGGGTTCATACGGAGCTTCCGTAAGTGATTGCAACATTAGGGAAAGATCCCAGGCCGGTGCCCGAAGGCGGCCCTTCTTAAGATCGTGCTGTTTGAAACCCTTGATAATACCCCGTATCACCGGCTCTTTGGAGAGACTGGTACCCATAGCAACGTCCCGTACCGTAGCAACGGACGAGACATAGTTGGCAATGGAACCCCCGGAGAGTTTCCGGGTCTCTCGCAAGTGAGACATGAAACGAGCAATATCCTGCACAGATACCTTATCTGGCAAATGAATGTGATGTTTACAACACCACTTCGTGAAAATAACCCAACGTGCATTATACACCTTCTGGGTAGAATCACGATGCATACTAACGTATGCCCGAGACGCCCGGCGAGAAAAACCTTTACTCCTCAGACGCTCGGTGACAACATCCACGCGTGCAGATTGAACTGCCCTGCGTTTGGATGAAGCTGACGGGTGTGAGGGTGGATCAAGAGATCTGGTCTCACAGGCAGCGGGAGTGGCGACTGCGTGACCTGGGTCAGCAAGTCGGGGTACCACGATCTGTTTGGCCACATGGGCGCGATCAGTAATATTCGACAGCGAACTCCTCGAAGCCGGCTTAGAATGTGTGGTATCAACGCTGTCGGCGGGTAAGCCTCGGGTCCGGGACTGGTGATACAAACAACGGGCGTTGATTGTTGAACCGTGTTGCGAACAGGTCGACCATCGGACGACCCAAACGTTCGCACAGCCACTGAAACACTACTGAGTTCAGCATCCACTCTGTGGGGCTCGGATCCTGAGGCCTCGATAGAGCAGTACGTTCCGCACACCTGGGATGTGACGGGCGCGTATCTGGCACGGGACACTGTCCACCAGAGCGTAAAACTCGAACGTGAGATCGAGTAGCGAGTGACTGTGGGTTCCCCCCAGTTTGTTCACATAGGACACTACCGTCGTGTTGTCGGTCGCCAGCATGAGCCGGGCGTCGACGAGACGATGCTTCCAGTGATTGACTGCGTTGATCACTGCCTTGAACTCGAGACAATTAATGTGCAGACCTAGTTCGTCTACGCACCACAGCCCCGAGCTCACCTCCCCCTCTAGATGGGCGCCCCAGCCCACTAGAGAGGCGTCTGTATACAGGTTCAACGTGGCCCGGTAGGGCCGCATAGAGACTCCTGATAAGACATTGTAAGGGACCGTCCACCACTCCAGATGCGGTCGGAGCCGATCCGGGAGGGCGACGGTCGCACTGTTCACCTCCGTTGCTAACAACTGGATTAAAAACCGTTGCAGCGGGCGGAGTTGGAGACGACCCCGTTCGGTGCAGTCCTGGGCTGATACAAGTAGCCCTAACAGCTGTTCCCAAAAGTGAACAGTCTGTTGCACCGCTAAGACTTTGGCAATCATCGCCTGAATTTTGTGCCACCGGTCTGGGGGGACAAATAGGCGATGGGACACCGTGTTGAACCGACCTCCGATGAACTGCAAGTTCTGAGAAGGGGTTAACTCGCTCTTGGGGAGATTGACAATCCACCCCAATTGCTCCAAGAGCCGACGTGCGAAAACGAGATGGCGTGACAGGGTGTCCGACATTCGATTTGCTACTAGCGAGTCGTCCAGGTACGCGAAGTACCGGACACCCCTCCGGTGGAGGAACCCCACTATGGGGGTGGTTAACCGGGTGAACAGCCAGGGAGCGGATGAAAGACCGAATGGGAGTACATTCCACTCGTAGTGCCTGCCTTGAAAGACAAACCTGAGATACTTGTGATGATCCGAGTGAATCGGAACATGCAGATAAGCATCCTTCAGGTCGATCGAAGCTAGCCAGTCGGCCGGCATGATCAGTGCTTTCAGGTCCGTCAAGCTCAACATTCTGAACTTGGGCGGCTTGCGCAGGTAGAACTCGTTGAACGATTTCAAGTTGTGAATCATTCTGAGTTCGGCACTGTCCTTCTTGGGAACGAGAAATATCCTGGAGTAAAACCCCGGTGTTATTTCTGGTAGAGCTAACTCCCGAACTGCCCTCTTCTCCACCAACCTGCCGATGGCATCGGCGAGGAAGGGAAGATCGGTTTCCGAATAGAAACCTGCCGACGGGGCAACGGTGAGCGGCGGATTCGCTTTGAGATCGAGCCGATAGCCGTACCGAATCGTGTTGACCACCCACGGGTCGTCGAACACTTGTTCCCAATTCTCCCAGTAAGTTTGGAGTCTGGCTCCCACTGGGGAAAGAGAGGGGGGCCGGACGGGCTGCGGCAGGCGCAACTGTCCAGGGCCAAGTGACTCGGGTTCGCCTACGGGCCAACCGAAGTTGGCGCTGTCGGCATACGAACCCCTCCAATGAGAGTCACCTGGAGGTGCCCTTGCCGTCCTTAGACGACTTGGGCTTCCCCCAGTTCCCCTTCTTCCCGCGAAAGGGCTGCTGAGAACCCTTACCGGAGCCCTCAGAGCGGGGCTTCTTCCCGGAGGAAGAAGGACCCGACCCCTTAGGCCTGCCGGACGCAGCATCCTGGGGCGCGCTCCGCTTCGGAGCGGCACCCAGGCGCCTATGCAAGGACCCCACAAGATCCAGTGTGTGCCGAGAGGCCTCGGCAGACACAGTGGCCTGTTGTTCCTTCAGAACCCCAGGGATCTTGTTATTAAACAGGGTCCGAGCAGACCAAGGCGCACCTCCTGATTGGCAGCGTCCAACCCTGAAGCAACCAGATACGACTGGCGCCGAAGAAAATGGCACGTGCCGGAAACAAAGGCCGAAGCCCCGGCAACGTACTCCAGGGAAGCATTCAAACCGAGCAAGCAGTTGTAAATGCGCTGGTCTCGGTCTGTAGGAGAACCTTCGACCAGACTGGCCGCTGCAGCCAGGTATGTGTCTCCGTGAGACATTGCCAGCATGGAGTGTCGAGCGAGGGTGTCCAGCTGTTGCAAGGTACCTTGTGGTACCGTGGCAACCGGTGGGGCACGGACCCCCAAACGCTCCACATGGGCTTCCGCAGAAGGACCAGCCTCGGGAAAGGCAAGGTCATGTACTGGGAAAGACCCTTTTCTCCACGACGGGGGAGGTAACGGGAGACCCCGACCGGAGGCAGCCGTGAAGGCCTTCTCCAAAGAAGGCTTAATCCCGCGCAGCAAGGTTGATGCCGGGAAAGCCTTGTCGGACGCCTCGTCGTATACCTCGGAGGAACCCACGAAACCGTGGATTCCCCGCGGTATCAGCAGGGACTTTGGCATGTCCTCGAAGAGGTCATACACCATGGCCACGTGGTCCTTAACCGATAGCGGAAGCAACGGTTCGGGGGAAGGACCGGTAACCACGGTGGACCCCGCGTCCGAACCCGCGGCCACCGAAGAGGCCGGGGACGGAACAGCCAGCGGCCTATCTTGCGATAAGGCCGCCAGCTTGGAGTCCACAAGTTTCGACAACAATGCGGCGACGGAATCCCCAGACAGCCCGAGGGCCGCGAGGGGATCCGCCGCAGCCGAGGAGGTGGTACCCGCACGGGGACCCCGACCGGACGAACCGGCCACCACAGGGGTGGAGACGGACTGTACGTACAGCCGGTACCGCTCAAACTCCGCAGGCCTCAGACCTTCGCACAGGGTGCACCGGGTGTCCCCGCAAGGAACCCTGCACCGCGGGCAACGATCGTTGGGATCCCGGGACGACAAAAACTTTCTGCACACCCCACAACTCCGAGGAGCAGGGGTAGAGGGGGTGGATACTGGGGACATATCCATGTCAGACATTGATTGTTTGCTATAAACAAAGAACAAAACATGGTTACAACGCACGCACCACAATGATTCACAAACGAGCATTTTCACAAGAAAATAAACGAGCAATGTGAACATATAACATACACATATAACTTTTATTAAAGAAATAAGTTATGTTAACCCCCAAAACATACAAGAACAGGGGAAACATAAAACATAACGTGCATACGCGAACCCCGCAAGTATATAGAAAAAAGGGCGGGAAAATTATAACCAAGCGTCGCTACCGCAACGCCCTATAAAAGCACAGTTTATTAGAGAATAAACTATAATAAATATCACCAAATCTTCAAGGAACGCTTCAGCAGGAGAAAACACGTCTTGCTAAGCAGACGAAGGAGACAAGAGTGAAGGGTGTCACATGGCAGCTAGGTGGCTACGCACGTGCTGCATGAGGTAATTGAGATCTCTGTGGTAGATTTCGCTATAGCAGCAGTTGTGGGAGACAACAGCCTCGGTATAACAGTGGTAACGTATTACTTAATGTAATTAACTGGGATTTCAGGCAAAGTGCCTCTTCTTTTTATTGTTTTTGACTGCTGTTACCAGTAAATTACAAGTCACCTCTACATAGTCATAACAATCATCACATGTGGTTTTATTAACAGGAATTGGAAAACTTCAAATTCCAATTTGGGATTTGTAATTGACATTTGCTGCAGACCTGGGGCCAAATTGCTGCCTCTGAGCAAGTCTAGATACAATCTCATTAAAATCAGATCTTAGTTCTCGCTACCGCTAAACAACGATCTGAGGACATCCCATTAGGGGTCATGTCAGACCGACCTTGCACGAACTTTGACCGACCAATGGAAGGACAGACAAGAAGTCGTAATTAGCCAATCAGAAGGCAGCTTTCTTGTGCTTTACTGCACTAATTTCAAATTGGCAACTTCCCTTCGAAACATATTTTGACAAATTTTCGATTAAGAATTTGAAACCTGAACAAAAGAACATTCTGGAATGGCTAATAGATGGTATAGATTGTATGGATTCAGTCATTAAGCCTGTAACTATTGTTCAGAATACCCTGTGTTAAAGTTTTCGAGGTTGCATGATTAGAAATCAAATTCCGACTGTCACTTTCATGATCTAGTAAGCGACGCTGTGATTGGTTGGATGAAAGGTCGTTCTGACGTGACCCCTAATGGGATGTCCTCAGATCTTTGTTTAGCAGTAGCGAGAACTAAGATCTGATTTTAATGAGATTGGTCTAGATAAATCCCTATATGGTTACTGGGAGTCACAGAGTCATGCATCTCCTTCCCAGCGCGTGACACCTCCATTACATCCTCGGTAACATCGTTGCTGTCGAGGCGGCCATTACAAGATTCTTGAAATTTGCCCTTCAAATCCAAATGTAGTCACATTTATATTTTTGTTTATGTCTTTGGGAATGCCATCAAATTTGACTTTTGAAAAGGTCTACAACTGTCCAGATTTCCCAGATGAATTTTCCTTTTTGTTTGTTTAAGCCGATTAGTTTGAGATTGCAGACGAAAAATCCCCCATTGTTCTTACTATACCAATTACATGATAGTTGAAATGAAATAAATCTCAAATTGACAAACAAAGAAAATAATTATGCTGGGGTAAGAGTATCCAGTGTCACAGCAGTTATCACTTGTGTGTAGACATAACGTCAGTCAGAGTTCAACTCCAAGCACTGTTGTAGCCACCTATCACAGTGGGGAGCTTTGACTGGTTGCAGCAATAGCATGGAGAGCTCCGCAAATGGGCTATCGCTGTGAAGAGCTTGAGAGTCATGTACAGTTTAAGTTGTTGATCACAAGGAGACCTGACTGTATATCCATTGGCTGTGCCTCGATGGTTTGAATATTATAAGCATCCCCTGCCTAGAGCGCTTAAAATGCAAAGCTGTACATCACAAATATATAAGAAGGCATCAAAGTTGTGCAATTCAATTTTTGGCAAACATAAATTCTATGAACTGTTGATTGATTGTTTGTTGTTTAATGCCGCACTCAGCAATATTCCAGCTATATGATGGCGGTCTGTAAATAATCGAGTCTGGACCAGACAATCCAGTGATTGATATCATGAGCATTGATCCACGCAATTGGGATCGATGACAAGCATCAACCAAGTCAGCGAGCCTGACCACCCGATGCCGTTAGTCGCCTGTTACGACAAGCATGGTCGCCTTTCTATGAAGTGAGAACATGTTGTGTATATGATGATCTCACCTTGTCTTGTGTTTGATTGACGGCAACACAGTCCACACTCCCCGCGTGACCGCGACACGTACACACGCAGTCCACCTCATTCCTCTCCCGCTGCCACACCCAAACCAACAACGTCTGGTCATGTGACCCAGTCACAAAACTGCTTGTGTCATCGTCTGAAATAAATCAAATTATGTTGCAAATGTTGGTAGATTTCCTTCCTCTTGGGCATTTTTATTATTCTTATACAGTGTTCCCTCGCTATAGCGCCCTTCAAAATAGCGCCAACTTGGTTATAGCGCACGGTTTAATTGACCAAGTTTATTATATCTGTTTGTTCACCTGATTTCGATGAAGGAATATGATAAGCGCAAAACACTCTATAAATCTTTTTTTACCACTACTATTCTAATCTTTTATTAAACTCTGAAACGTGCATCGTAGATCGTGTTAGGTAGGCAGAGCACGAACTGATGTGTTCGTCATCTTCCCCCTACGACTCCACCTTGGTTTAACCGCTGATTGTTTATAACGCTCAGCAATTATTTGGACCCTAAAGGTACCACTGTAGCGAGGGATCTCTGTATCATTTTATAGTATTCAGATGATGATGCTTGATAAAACAAAATTTAAAAAGATTGTTCTTAATATGCCGTTATAGAAACCTGCTACTAGATACATGTTTGAGATCCATTATACAACAAGTCTTGTGAAGATCTTGGTTGAGGCATGTCATTGTATCCCATTTGCGTAGATTGATGTTCGTGATGTAAATCACTGGATTCTCTGGTCCAGATTTGATCATTTACAGGGGGCCGCCATATAGCTGGAATATTGCTGTGCCATTAAACAACAAACAAAACAAGACATACTGGAGACAACACAGTCAAAACTATAAGCTGCTAGTGGCATAGCTTCCCAGGAATATCTAATCTGATTGTCATGTTTGTATTTACTTGTTTTCAAACGCTGAACCGTTCTAGCTTTTTAACAGCTGCCTGTAAATAATTGAGTGTAAACCACACAATCCAGTGATTGATATTATGAGCAAAGATATGCACTTTCAGGTATGATAACAGGTAATCAACAAATCACGATTTTGTCACCTTGTACGATAAGCGGACCTATTCGAACCAAGAATTCTCTTGGGATTTCTTAAGTATATTAAGTTGCGCTCCCAGTCTTACTGACTGTCTATACAATAAACTCCAACAGCCAGACCTTCTGATGACCAGCATACGTTGCTGGGGCCTAATCTAACCTGGAAAAACAAAGACCCCTGTCAAAAATGAGAGACACCAACCTTCTTTCATCCATGCAACACATTTGACCGGCGCCGTATGGCCAGGAATAGTCATCAGCGAATCTCCACTGGAGGACCACAATCGGGCTGTGTTGTCATAGCAACCTGACAATATGCTGCAAATAGAAAAATAGTACTGAAGCTTTGAAGAGCCACAATCAGTGCTCGAAATAAGCGCCTGCCCGTAGGCCCGTGGCAGGTAGATTTTGTGTCGGGCCCTTAGTTTCAATTTTGTATTGGTCCTTCCGGCCTGTACATTTATGTGTTGATTTATTTGTCACAATAAGCTGCAGGGATTTTTTTAATGAGGCTCCGAAGAGTTTTTGTCAGGGCCAGCAGCTTTCTGTGGGCCCTGATGGCAGCCTTGCAATTCTTTTTATTTCCAACACTGGCAACAATGCTCTGAAGCTTACCTGAATTATTATTGGAATAATATATTAAGTCTCAATGGTTATACAAGAAGAGAAAAGAAAAACAACAACAAAAAACAACAGAACACTGAGAAAGAACATGTTTAAACTCATAAGGAAGAGAATTTATGACCATTCACCTGATGAGTAGGAGAAGGAGTAAGCACATACTCCGAAATGTTGTGTTCCTCATAAAAGTTTGTTTGTTGTTTAACGCCGCAGTCAGCAATATTCCAGCTATATGACAGCGGTCTGTAAATAATCGAGACTGGACTAGACAATCCAGTGATGGATATTATGAACATCGATCCATGCAATTGGGATCGATGACATGCATCAACCAAGTCAGCGAGGCTGACCACCTGATCCCGTAAGACGTCTCTTACGACAAGCATAGTCGCCTTTTACGGCAAGCATGGGTTGCTGAAGACCTATTCTACCCCGGATCTTGTTCCTCATAATAACTTTATGGATGTCAAGTTCCTCATAATATAGAAGTTGACATCCATAAAGTCTCTTCCTTATGTGCATCACTTCTAAATGCCTTTCAAAGACATGTGTAAACTTGTCCAAGACACTTAGTTAATCACATTACTAATTCCTTCCATGTTAAATCATACCATCCCCAACGAACAAGTTTCAAACTTATTTTCAGAACATGATTCAAGTCCTTAACATTGTTAAGGCACAAACACTTGAGAGATGAACTATCATATAAATATATACAGTACATCTCCTTGAGTACCAGTCTTGCAATTAGAAACAGGTTCTGTTGTCAATGTAACTGGGACCTGGCCAGTTACTTGCTTGTTCTAGTGAGTGAGTTAGTGAGTGAGTGTGGTTTTACGCCGCTTTTAGTAATATTCCAGCAATATCACGGGGGACACCAGAAATGGGCTTCACACGTTGTACCCATGTCGGGAATGGAACCCGGGTCTTCGGCATGACGAGCAACGCTTTAACCACTGGCCTACCCGACTGCCCCTCTAAACAGGAGACTGAATCAAGGTAACGGCATCTACATGAATCACATGTGGTGTCTCCTTCAAAATATGCTTCTGTTCACCCAGCAGTGAATGGGTACTAAGAAGGATGAAATAGAAACTTCTAGCGCCTCACAGGCATCTTGGGTTGTATACTCCTCAGGGAGCTGAGAATGAAAATCGAGTGCACACTGATACATTGACCGGGGTAATAACAATGCTGCCCTTTGTGCATGCCCCTGTATGGCATGGAAATATAGCGCAATATAAACAGCCGTATTATCAGTCTTACTAGCGAGTGTTGGCCTGGAGACAACTGACCCAGTCGTCATGGAGAAGTGAGTTCTCTGGTTTAGGCGCCGCTTGACGCTCCACATACTCAATGTCCAACACATCTTCCTGGAACAGAGAAACAGGGGTTTATTTCTAGAGGTTGGCATCATCTACTCTCATACTGTAGAATTATAAACAAGAGGTGATATATTTTCACAACTATTCTTTGTTCTATATTGATTATTGTGTAAAACTGTTATCTACCAGTCCTTACTAGGGTTTGACATACCAGTTGTATTAAATTGTTATATACACCAGTATGCTATTGTTATTCTCAAAGAATGGAACATAGTTCTAAAAATTGTTAAAATAAATAATCTATACATGATAACATTTCACCAATCAATATGTGGCAAGCAGTGATTAGCATTAGTATGATAATGAGTCTCTTTTTCTATTTACTGTTGAAACTCCTTTTTGCTCCAAGTACACATCCAGAGTCACACGGAGAAACTCTCCATCGATGAGGAAATCAAAATCCACTCCACCCTCACTATCTTCTTCTGAAAATAAAGACAATATTTAACAATGAGAACACAAAGATTGTTTATAATTTGATAGTTCTAACCATAACAGACTGTTTATTAACACTGATTAAGCTTATTGGTTAGAGTTACCTGCCCTTGGTTCAAAACATATGGAAAATAATATAAGTCTGACACAGGTGTTTGGAAATGACACTCTCAGGGACCAGAACTAAAATGTCTTTTTCAGTGTTTGAAAGTTACTAATTAGAACAGTTTTCAAGGACGAGAGGTTTTACACTACAAATAGCAAGAAATTGACTTTGACACTAAATTTTGAAAGTCAAATTTGTAAGATTAACATGTTAATGTTATATAACAATTGATAAACATAACACAGTTTGGATATTAGTAGAACTTCATGTGTCAGTGATCTTTTCGACAGTTGATTTCGAAGAACGTATGAACATAAAACAAACCATTTAGGAGTCCATTGATTAGAGAACTCAGTTCTGTGATACCAACATTAGCAGGCACAGAAAAGGGGCTGTCTGGAACTGAATATCTAAAAAATAAAAATGAAAAGAACAAATATTGATGAAATACCATGGCTAATTAGACTTTGCCCAAACAGAAATATTTGGACTGTGGAACAAGGCATTTTATTTATCGGAGGATAAGTTGAAACTACAAGAACCGAAAAAAATGTATCTTCACCACAAATTAGACTGAATACCTTGTAAAAAACAATTGTTGATCTCATTATAGTGCAAATTCATATTGTAATAAACTTGCTAGTCTATGGCAAGTGTTAAATCTTCATCATTAATCGTTTTGATAGCATTATTGATAACTTATCACTAACCCAAGGTATGCAATGTGTTCATAATCAACTAGGCGACTATGCTTGTCGTAAGAGGCAACTAACGTGATCGGGTGGTCAGGCTCACTGACTTGGTTGATTCATGTCATCGATCCCAATTGCGTGGAATAATGCTCATGATATTAATCACTGGGTTGTCTGGTCCAGAGTCGATTATGTACAAACCGTTGTCATATAGCTGGAATATTGCTGACTGCAGCATTAAACAACAAACAAAGAAATGATAATCAACTGATTTGTCTGTACAGCAACTTGAACGTCCAGTCAAAACCCAATTTTAACAAAGATGACCACAGATTGTAATACGCCAGCTGAATTATACTGTGCACACACAATTCTGGACAGGAGGCCTTCCAATCTGGACAAGCAGCTATTGACAGATCAGCATGATTATCTGTTGGAGAACTAGTCAAAATATTACTATTTCTGCACCAGTTAGAAAATCGATCAACATGAATCATGTTTTAGACATAAATGATTGCAACAATTATGTTTTATCATTGTCAGATTTTTCAAGTAATGTAAGCAAGCTATTCGGAACTTTTACCCCGCCTGTCGGCCCAATTTCCATGTTTTCAGAGACATGTTTTCGGCTTGCTTTCTTTACACCCAACCAGGACAAGAACGCATTTTGTTGTCTATAATCATAGGAGGGGATAACGGACGGACATTTTCCCCATATGAGATCACATGATATTCATAAAACACTGCTTCATCTACAATGCAATATTCATAACAAACCATCGACAACAATTTGTGCAAAGACTTCGATCACATTTTGTCAAGTTGGAGTCTTTGCTATCCTTTTCAAGATAGTTTCTTCAATACTTGAAAGAACGAGACAGAAATTAATCATACAACAAATAAATACAAATACAACCATTATCAATCAGTAACAACCGAATAAAACACGTACGTTGGTTGCTTAGTGAAAAATTTCACTTGCACGTGGGGACAATTTTCTGCCATGGCGAAATGAAAATCCTAACTTCATTCACGGAGCGTTTTCAAAGGGAGATAAATGCGTATATGGCAATTGGGTTGGACTGCATTCATCATCACAAAGATTACAAGTTCGAATACCTTGGTTGTAGTTTCGTTTTAAATTTTATTACATTGAATTTGTATTATTCCTCTATATTCGATATTCAATTAAATACATTTGCAACTTGAACAGAATTAAAACAAAATAAATCACTGTTTTCCTCTTTCTTTTAAGACACTTGTGCCTAGGATTGTTGTTCAAATAATCACTTCCAGTCCTGTGTTTATCAACACGGGACCATGTCACTAATAATAACATACAAACTCGCAGACGACGCCTCGAAACGAGGCCTACGATATGGATTGCGATGACAGTCTTTGAGACTTGGCTGACTGTCAGTCTAGCCGTAACTCGGGTAGGATGGGTACTGTGTAGGACCCGGGTACCCCCGTACAGGACCACCCGGACCCGTGGATCTACAGTCACGTGATAAAGTGTTTAATGACAAAAAAATCAACTCTTTTGTAACACTGCAAGTCACTATAATGTTCGCATTTTTCTGACTATTCACACATTCCCTCTTTTATAAGATTGAATAAAGATGAAGCTTCAGTCAGCTTCTCATGTTGTATTTGATAATACAGAGGCACATTGTCCTGTGAAGAGGACACAGGTCACACAACACAGGCAATTAGGCAAAGCTGAGCTGAACCGAAATTGACTTTAACGTCGAGTGCGTGCGGGCGTGCGTGCGTGTGTGTTTCTGCTTGAACTAGTCCGGACTAATGCCGATTTTATGGTGCTAGCTCATGCTGCACTTTAACATGAACACCCCGCTCAGACACAGTATACTGACTGCGAGCCGACCAGTCCTTGTTTTAGCCCCTTAATGCCGAGCACAAGTCAGGGTAACAATAATTACCATCTTTTAACGTCTTCTGCTATGACGCGACCACAGATAGACCCCCCGACCTTCCGCTCTCCGGGCAGATGCTCAACCACAAGACCACGGGGGCGGTCAATCAGGCAAAGTTAAGCAAGTTGGTCGAGGGGAGAAGGTAGGTGGGTGACCGTGTTTGGCAAGCACGGTTCCTGAGAGTTTCTAGGGCATTAATGGATGGATTCGGCACATTAAAAATGAGTTTCTAAACAACTTCAGCAGGTCAAGTAATATTTTCAGCACAATTCGCAGTTAAACAAATGTCCTTGACCCTCTGACCAACAACCTTTTGAATGTTGATCCATAAAGTGTCAGTGTGTGATAAAAATAATAATTCCCTGTCTATTATTTCCTCCAAATGCGTTGTTTCTTAAAAATCTGCATTTAAAAAAAATAAATGTTGAGGTATATGTACATTTTAAGGATTGTCTGAAAACAGATGCAGAAAATTTGTAATTTTCAAAGGAAAAATATTAGGGTAAATTGTGCACACAACAAAAATTCTTTCACTTAATCAACATTTTCCAGGGGCAGAGATGTCCCAGTACCCCCATACAGAGTGTTCACTTACCTTTACAGACCGACCTTCCTTCTTGCCCTCATTTCGCCTACACCTCATTTCGCCTACAATAATTCAAATGCTTAATTGCCTCACCCCTATTATATGAATGGGCATTGTCCATCTCAGGCTGTTTAATCCAAGCTCTAATCTAATCCAAGCGGCATAGAGGTTCAACTTCTCACAACTCTTGTTTGACTTGGTCATTCTGTTAATCCTTAGTTGTTTTGAATGTCCCCGATCCAACAACCATCTGGAAGGGTTCCACTGTGGACTGAAAAAGAGAATGCCCCGATCTCACCCTAACATCCAGCAGTTCTTGAAGGAGATCAAGAAGATTGAAAAGGCAGACAGACGCTCCAGGAAACAAATTGATCTTGGAGGATCATGCAGACCCCGAGCTCGTGTTGACAGACAAAGGGACGAAAGAATTGAAAGACTAAAGACACAGCTTCTTAGTGGAAGAAAAACTGTAATGCAATTTCTTGATGCCGTTGGATATGTACTAAAGCTACAGTAATCATGAGTCATTATTATTATTACTGCATAATGTAAATATCAGCTATTAAACAATGTATGAAGCTTCAAGATTGTCTTGTCTGTTTAACTGTAATGCAATTTCTTGATGCCGTTGGATATGTACTAAAGCTACAGTAATCATGAGTCATTATTATTATTACTGCATAATGTAAATATCAGCTATTAAACAATGTATGAAGCTTCAAGATTGTCTTGTCTGTTTAACTGTAATGCAATTTCTTGATGCCGTTGGATATGTACTAAAGCTACAGTAATCATGAGTCATTATTATTATTACTGCATAATGTAAATATCAGCTATTAAACAATGTATGAAGCTTCAAGATTGTCTTGTCTGTTTAACTGTAATGCAATTTCTTGATGCCGTTGGATATGTACTAAAGCTACAGTAATCATGAGTCATTATTATTATTACTGCATAATGTAAATATCAGCTATTAAACAATGTATGAAGCTTCAAGATTGTCTTGTCTGTTTAACTGTAATGCAATTTCTTGATGCCGTTGGATATGTACTAAAGCTACAGTAATCATGAGTCATTATTATTATTACTGCATAATGTAAATATCAGCTATTAAACAATGTATGAAGCTTCAAGATTGTCTTGTCTGTTTAACTGTAATGCAATTTCTTGATGCCGTTGGATATGTACTAAAGCTACAGTAATCATGAGTCATTATTATTATTACTGCATAATGTAAATATCAGCTATTAAACAATGTATGAAGCTTCAAGATTGTCTTGTCTGTTTAACTGTAATGCAATTTCTTGATGCCGTTGGATATGTACTAAAGCTACAGTTATCATGAGTCATTATTATTATTACTGCATAATGTAAATATCAGCTATTAAACAATGTATGAAGCTTCAAGATTGTCTTGTCTGTTTAACTGTAATGCAATTTCTTGATGCCGTTGGATATGTACTAAAGCTACAGTAATCATGAGTCATTATTATTATTACTGCATAATGTAAATATCAGCTATTAAACAATGTATGAAGCTTCAAGATTGTCTTGTCTGTTTAACCTTCTTTTGGGTCAGTTCATTATTTTAGAGGTAACACAGCACTTGACTTATGTGCAGTCAGCTGTAAATTTGTTTGATAAGGGTGTAGGCGAAATGAGGTTTGGGCGAAATGAGGCCATGTGCCTGTTAAACTGTGAGCTGTGTTGAAAATATTACGTCCACCTTTTGAACTCTCACTTTCGTGTGATAATTAAAATGTATTTTAAGCTGGAATAACCCCTTTTCCAGTTGATAAGAAAACCTTATAATTGTACAACATAACAGTGTAACAGCAAATGCAATCGATGGACCTTCAAACATGCCAATGTACCTTTAACCATTATTAGGAAGTACGTTTGTTTTTGTCTGCCATACGTACTTTCAAGGATCAAATTGATTTTATTTTATTTTGTGCTTCACAATTGTTTGTTTGTTTGTTGTTTACCCGAACTCAGAAAAAATCCTGCTTTATGACGGCGGTTTGTAAATATTCGAGTCTGGACCAGACAATCCAGTGATTGACATCATGATTATTGATCTACGCCATTGGGATAAGATCACATGCAGCAACCAAGTCAGCGAGCCTCATCACCCATTCCCGTTAATCGCCTCTTACGGCAAGTATGGATTATTGAAGACCTATTCTACCCCGGATCTTAACAACTAATAGAGAACATTTCAAACAAAATGTGAAATATAATCAAATTTATTTTGCCATTTGAATCTAGATACAAGCTGAGTTGATTTTTTAAATATTGTAACATGATCAAACTCTGTCACACTTCGTATGATATCGATCTGCATTCATATGTTTTCTCTATTTTCTTTTATGATTTGTAAAAAGATTTTAATTTCTGCTAAGTTAAATCTGAAGATATCAATTTTCTGCGCTAAGATTAAATCCACATTACGATAAAATTACTTTTGAAATATGCGTTAAACAATTTAAGAAATCATAAATTCATGAGGAAAATTAAATGTGGTTAAAACGACCAATGAAACAACGCGATAATGATGAGTGCAAATTTTCTTTTGACCAATCGAATGCTGCGTAACATCATGCAAAGGAACTTCCGGAGCTCTAGCTAGCTTCCGTGTTTAGTAACGATCGAAGGAAAAAGAAAATATGTGTGAAAAATCCAGGAGGGAGAGATTTATTTCTTGAGACAACTGGTAGTTATGTCAGTAGACGAGGAAAAGGGCCTTGTCGAAGTTCTCTATGATTATTCCTACGAGGACGATAATGGCACGGTGACGATAGTGACAGGGGAGCTCTATACGCTTCTCGAGCAAACCAACACAGAATGGTGGCAGGTTAAACGAAGTGACCGAGAGGAGACGACTTTTTACGTTCCAGCGCAGTACGTGCGGATTATATCACAGGACGATGCAGGCATCTATTGCAATCAGGATACGTTTGCCGTCGAGGATGTGAACGATAACGATGGGAGGACCACGCCCCTTGACGACTTTCACAGGGAGTCCCCAAGGATTGATGTGTCAAATGGGGAGAGGCCTGGAGTTCTCCCCCTAAATACTTATGATGGGGGTAATTCCGTGGAGGTGCAGTATGCCAACCTGGACGATTATCGAATGGAGGCAGGCCTTCCAAAACCAGTTGGTGAAACAAAACAGGTTAAGATGGATTATTTCTCCTTGTCGTCCTCATGTGTTATTTTATCTACATGGAAGATATAGATGTTTATGTGCTTAGTTTCAGTACGTTTCCATTCGAGAAATAGAATTCTTAAACTGAGATGTAGATAAATACTTTGGTTCCAATGTCCTTTTGTGTATTTAGGAAACAAATCTTATAACATTTGTATTGCTATTTAGAACAGACATGTGACAAAAACGAAAATCAAGCAACATTTATTTCATCTAGATCTATTGGTTCCATTTTATTTAAATCATTTATAAAACGTTTAACAATGTATTGACCATGTTACAGAAATGGGATTTGTTTTAGAACTCTAAGAACTAGTTGGGCCATCATCAAGATGTACACATAAACATAACACTGTTGGCTCCTCCCTACACTGAGCAACAGGTGTCACGGAACACCATAAGTAATTAGGTGCCTTGTGTATTGATGTACAGATTGCGTATTACTGGCATATTGATAACCCTTTGTGTCCACAATTAACAATATAATGATTTTGATTAGATAGGCCTGAATTATTTCTTAACATATCCACAAAGTAGTAATAGAACTATTACGTTATCATGCACATTTCAAAAGAATTGGAGCCAAAGAATTTTACATCCCCAAATGGTGATAAAAATCATAGAAAAAGATATAATAATTCTGAATAGGTCCCCTGAAGTGCATGATTGTCGAGTTTTGAAAATGTATATTATTTTAGAAAATAACTCCTTGTTCCCAACACTATCCTGAGTAATGATAACATCATGGTAAACAATAATCATTATATCAGAGCTACAGATAACTTGCGTATTATTTGCGTAAAATACCCCCCAAAACTTTTCAAAACCCAATTACTTTCAATTAACTTGCATACAGAAACGCATGCATTAGATGGAAAACACAATTGTTTGAAAACAGCATGCGAAAACACCCAATGAAGCTTTTTCAGCATGCGTACACCGGAGCTAATTTCCGAAACACAATTACAAGCTAATTTACTTTTCGAGTCAAGCCTACATTTAGAACAGTTATATTACAACTTAAACATTATTTCTTTCTTTTTTAAATCTTAAAAAGCTTACTCATTTTGGGAAAAACCCAATAGAGTGATGAATAGATGAGTGAAAAAAATATTGATTACCCAATAAAAAATGTAATAACCCAATTAAAATAGAAACCTTCCAGTAAAAACCCAATTGCTTAAAAGTTATCTGGAGGTCTGTTATATTTTTGTGTGACTTGGTCAAAAGGGAGCATATTGTTTGAGATAAATGGTGGAGTGCATATTTGCCTGCTGTGCAGTGTCTCCTGAGTGGTGGTATTCGTTATACTCAGCTGCTGTCAGCATGGGAAGAATTTACTCTCTATTGTTTCCTGGCTGATGTTAGTGGTTTGTTGTATGTGAGTCCTGTTTATATAATTAGTATGCAGAACAGTTATATGTGGCTCACATACTGCTGATATTGCAGAACCAAGCTGCTCGCTCTGTGATAAATGGCACTCTTCATGTGCTCCTATCATTGTGTTGGCTTTGTTCGTTAAACTGGAGGACACCATTATTTAATGTTCAGGACCTGATGAGTATGCAATGACATGTCAAAATTTGAAATTCTTTAAGAGTAGTGATGCCATCATACATTGCATATTTTGTAATGTTGTTGCTGTATCATTACAAATTTATGAATATCGATACTAATTTGATAATTCACTGCCACAGAAATGTTAACATATGTTAAGACTGTCATGGTTAAGTTGGACAATAATAAAATTCAATTCTAATCATTTAAAAATTATATAAAGATGATAAAGGATGACTAAGTTTGATATTATTCAATGAACCGTGTTCGACGTAATAAACGCCCTGCTCTAATAACGCCCACAGCGATATTTGCTAATATATTGGCTAGTGAACAATCCCAATTAGCACCCCTTCCGATTGATCAATGTACACAATACTTATTTATTCACGTATAATACGCACTTGTGTGTTATATGCACCCTTAATTATGGGAAATAAAATTCTGGAAAATTATATCTGTCGTATATAAACATTTCAGGCTGTCGGCATAAACCACAAAATTTATCTTTCAACTCTGTTTTTCTCACAAAAATAATATTCTAATAAGAGCCCCCTATTTCTATTTTTGAGAGCGCCCTGGGTGCTTATTACATTGAAGACAGTATTGATATATCATGATACTTCTGAGCTGATATATCAATACTGAACTTTCAAATCATTGACATCGCTATATTAGAGATACTTTGATTGTGAGGTATTCCAATATGTGTATCCATCAAGCTCAGGTTAAAAAAGTCATTTATTCAAAATAAAAATATCTTTTTAAGCATCAACAATCATCATTTAGGCATCATTTAAAAATATCAATGACTAAATTTATTTCTGCATTTTGCTTTTGCCTCACCGTATTTTGGGTGTTTATTCACACCTAATATTTTTGGGAAAGTGCTATCCTTTCACTTGAGGTGAAGTCTTTACTGTAGTGAGTGGGAAATTGCAGACATTGTCAAAATTAAAATGAAACTTTTAATTAATTTTGAGGTAAAAGGTTGACAGACACAAGTATCATGCTGCAATATATGGAAATTGTATTTATATAATGGCTAAGCAAGTGACAGGGTTAGTTATCTAATTGGCCTTAGAAAGTGTAAACACTCTCAATACATCCTGGCTAGGATTCGTCACCACTCGCCCCTTTCCGTAACCTGTAAGAAGACTCGTCCCCCTATTGATGAATGTCATGTGCGAAAATACGACAAACCAATCAGAATGCGCGTATGATTTCGAGTTCTTCGTCAAAGAATCCCTCAGAAATAATTTTTGATTTTACATATGTCTTGCATCTAAAAATATACCCAAGACACAGTTAAATGTGTTCAATCATATTGTATAATTCCGCATGTCCCGATGTGCTTTAAATTGCATCTGAAATATATATAATATATGGGGAAATAAATGTGAACCATTACGCAACGAGTTGACAATTGTTTTAGGGATGCCCGTTTGCGCTAAGAAGGAACCCGGTCGCAAAAATGGCCACGATAGGGTCATGAGTCGCTATTTGGCTTGTCCCGGAATAACACGAGTTGGTCACGAATGCCTGGCTAGGTTACATTCTTAAGTCAAAATGAGGCCTCATACAGTTCCCATCTTGTCCATGGTCTGTGTTTGATTTGTAGCAATAGTGTTTTACATGTATTGCTACTAGAAGCCAGAAAAAAGGGACAGATTTGTCATGTTACATAAATCAATTATTCACCCACAGCTCCAGACATGGATGACAACATTTTTGAAAGGATCCTTGAAGTGTACAATTTAAACACATACTTCCACAAATTTAAGCAAGCTGGAAGACAGAAGCACATGCTACAAATAAACAATAGTTAGTTTCAAGGTTAATGGTTTCAGGTTTCAAGGGGAAGAAGTAGACAGGTGAGGCCAGGTGTCGGGTATGTGAGGGGAATAATCAGTCTTGTAATGGAGATCTTTGTGTCTTTATACAGAACAGAATAGAAGTTGGTTTCCATGATGTGGGACTCATGAACTAGATGATGTTTACAGTTGGTGGTTCCTATATGACACATGGTGTACATTGGTGTCTAAGACACATGGTGCATGTAGGTGTTGTGATCTATTGTGGACACACACAGCAGTGTGCAAGATCTTTCTGTGTAGCATTTTCACAATTGTACGTTTCTTTAAGATCTTCTCCGGTAACTCTATTAGTTCCTGTTCTATTTATAGCGTATGACGATCTCACATGCTGCCGATTTAAATGTTGTGTTCACCTAAGTATGGATGATAAATCATTACAGCTCAAGTGCTGAAGGTGGCATAAAAAACGACTGACTGACTCACTCACACTTATTCACACCGGTGTCTTCAACAGTGGTCAGATGTGTTGATATCTGGGACCACGTTGACATTCTGCTGTTAAGAAACTGTTGGGGTGGTCTGGTGGTTAAGGTGTTTGCTCATCCCACCATAGATCTGGGTTCAGTATTACCCTCATGGTTGCAGTATTTGTAGTCATTCCTGTGCCCTGCTGTGGTATAACTTGAGTGACCTGTGAAGATCTGGGGTAGAATAGGTCTTCAGCAACCCATGCTTGCCGTAAAAGGCGACTATGCTTGCCGTAAGAGGCGACTAACAGGATCAGGTGGTCAGGCTCGCTGACTTGGTTGATGCATGTCTTCGTATCCCAATTGCGTGGATCGATGCTCATGATGTCAATCACTGGATTGTCTAGTCCAGACTCGATTATTTACAGACTACTGTCATATAGCTGGAATATTGTTGAGTTCGGCGTTAAACAACAAACAAACAAACAAATATTACTGGAGTATTGACAAAGTGTATCGGTTTCGGGATATCACCATGCTGAGGCAAAACTTTTTGTATTTCCCATTTCTCAGTTGACTGACCAGAGCAAAAAGCCAAAATCCGAAATGAAATAACAGTCAAAATTATTTTTATTTGTCCAACTGCACTCTTTGATGAATTGAAAAAATAACACACAAAATCATACCAAAAAGCAACTGTTTAAATTATAACTCATCCAATGCACTGTAAAACGTGTATGGCTACCTCAAACACTTCGTGGCAATGCTTTCTCAAAAAAAAAGTAAACGTGTTAGTAGAATACATGTTATTGTTAACAAAGTACACATCCATCCTTTTGGACAGCATTTGTCGTACAAAACTGACTCAAAACAAATTACCGTAGTCGACGTAATAAGCTCCCCGCTCTAATAAGCGCCCATGGCGATATTTGCTAATATATTGGCTAGTGAACAATCCCAATTAGCACCCCTTCTGATTGATCAATGTACACAAGACCTATTTATTCGCACTCGTGTGTAATATGCACCCTCAATTATGGGCAATTAAATTCTGGAAAAATATATCTGTCATATATAAACATTTCAGGCTGTCAGCATAAACCACGAAATTTATCTTTCAACTCTG